TCTGACAACTCCTTGATTAAGTCGTGCCTGTGGAACAATTGAGTTTGATGAATTTGTTTACTTGCTGAATCCAAATTCAAATTCTATACTCTTGATAATGTTACTTATGCTTCTATTGTGATTGATTTGATCCCGACAAATATAAAAAATTATTAGATTATTAGATACTGTTGGTGTTGACATTTAATATTTATACTACGTTATTTATTTTTTAATTTAAACTATTAAATTGGAGCTTAATTTCTGAATTAAAACTATTTTTTTATACCCATAATACTAATTTATTGTTCAATACTTATTCTTTCTCCATTTTATCAGTTCCCAAAATGAAAAACTCAAAAATATAAATATAAACCTTTTAAATCGATCAACTATAATTCAAGAAAAATTAAAGTCTTCATGATAAAATAAATGTAAATATATAATATAATATAATTATAAAATATAACTTTGTTCGATTACATTCACTCTTCATGTATATTAATTATACATGTAACAAAGATAATCAATATGTATGTCAAAATTTAATTGTTATCCGATGGTTTCATCACTATTGTATTCAATTGACCTTTTGCTAATAAGAATTCCCTATAATTAATCTTTTTGTGATATTAGCCTTTCAATAAAAATATTAATGATACGAGTATTTATTAACTTAAAAAAAAGGAATTCACAATTTTAAAAGATTAGCTAATTGGGGTAGAAGATTCTTTTTTTTTTTAAAAAAATTATAAACTTTCATTTATCTTTTGAGGTTTCTTGATGTGAGGCTCATGTGTAATATATATATATATATATATAAAATAATTTTTCTCAACAAGTACATTATGTTTAAAACATTACAGTTTTACTTGTCAATAAAGTATATAGTAAAAAATTTATAAAGTTTTAATTAAAAAAATTTACATATTAGACATCTATTTTGTGACATATGTTGCCCATTGAGGCAGTCCTATCATTTAATAAACAAAACATAGTATTAATTTTTTTGGTCAAATAAACAAAAAAAAATAAATTAATATAAGAGCATGCACAACAGATTTTGTAGGATAAGTCAGCCGCCCCAACAAACTGTATAACACAACGGTAGCTGAGTGAGTTGTATGCTGAGTACCATTTACAGACCCCCTACCTGTCTAACAGTCAAACCCGACCTGCCCTACCTGTCTCCCAATATATCTATAAACCCACAAAACTAATAATAATTAATTTTAAAAATCAGATAATTAAAAAACGTGCCAACAGGGAAACGGGAATGATTAAAAATCCAGGCGAGTTCCTTCCGTTTGTTTTTATATTCTTTAATCTTTATCCTTTAATTACGAACCAGTCCCTACATCTCTCTCTCTCTCTCTCTCTCTCTCTCTCTATTACACACGCATTTTCACTTCGCTCTTCTTCCTCTCCAATCCTTCCTTACTCTCCTAACTACGACATCAGAACTAACTGAACATGTCCAACGATCCTCAACGCTACTTTCCCTCTCCTGCTCTCTCCCTCAGTCTTGTAAACATATACTTCCTTCTTCTTCCTTCCCACTGTATATGTATACATATATGTTTCCATATATCATACAAATTTGACTCTGCATATTTTAGCAGCGTTTTTTATCATGTCTCTCTCTCTCTTTTGATTTTTTTCTTTTCATTTGATTTGGATCGGAAGGCGGGCATCTTTCGTCGCAGTGATGCGGTGGTGCGGCGGTCGAGCAACCCTGAGGAGGAAGAGACCGGGGAGGAGGGCAGCGGCGGAGGAGGGGGCCGGAAAAAGAGGAAGAGATATCATAGGCATACTGCTGATCAGATCAGAGAAATGGAAGCGTACGTAAACTTCTATACATGCTCTCTATGTCTCTTTACTAATACAGCATATTAGCTTGTGTGTGTACGTCCTCCTCTTGTAATTCTTGCTTCTTAGTGTGATCGTTGAGTGAGATTGCTGCAAATATTAATAATCAGGTCGGTTTGATCCAATTAATTATAATGTCAATTAATTAATTATGGGCTGCCTGGCAGATTAATCGATGATAGGTCTTCCATATAGTCACATAATTTGCAAGCGGTCGTACTGCTTCGATTTTAAAATAAGTTGTTGACACACACACCACAGCATATTGGCTTTAAGTCATCAATGATTCAAGTTTGAAATTGGACAAAATTAGCATAAAATATGGTGAAATTTGTTTTTATTATAATTAAGTCAACAGTGATCTTTTGTTTTTTGACAGAAAGGTAGATTGTGTGTGTGTCTGCGCTTGTAGGAGTCATGTATATTATGTTATATAAAATTAGTTGGTTTGTTTTCTCCGGTGGGCATGTGAGGAGGTAGTTTTTGTATTCATTGACCTTTTATATCCAAATAAAGAACAAAAAGAAATTAAAAAACAAAGACTCTTGGACCACGTACTGCTCTACAGCAGAAGAATTTAAAATTAAAGTTAATAATAAATACATAAATCTGCAGCATATAGAAGCTGACATGGATATGAATGTGCTTTGTATAACGTACGTTGGTGCAGGCTGTTTAAAGACTCGCCACATCCTGATGAGAAGCAGAGACAACAACTCAGCAAGCAGTTAGGCCTCGCTCCTTCGCAAGTCAAGTTTTGGTTCCAAAATCGTCGAACCCAAATCAAGGTTAATCAATTCATTATTACTAATCCGTCCATTTAAATAAAATTTAATTAATTTCACCACACACACACACACACACCAGTGGTTAATGGTAGCTGGCTAGGGAATAGCCGATCAATATCCACAGACCAATCATATATTCAACTTACCGCACAGTATACATATTACGTAATTTTTTTCAGGAAAGCTTGCAATTACTTAACAAATTATGCATTACTTAATGTGATGGGAAGAATTAACAAGGCAATTAGAGGTAACTAATGACTAAGAATCGTGCAGGCTATACAAGAGCGTCATGAGAATTTATTGCTAAAGTCAGAAATGGATAAACTGAGAGAGGAAAATGAGGGCCTGAGAGGGGTCATAAACAAAGCTTGTTGCCCCAACTGTGGCGTGGCTACCATTTCCTCAGATGCTGCCATGCCTCCTGAAGAACATCAACTACGTGTAGAAAATGCCAAACTCAAAGCTGAGGTTTGTTTACTTCATCTACTTCTCATACCTCCTTCTTAATTATACACACACATAGATATAATCTTGAGGAGCGTCTATAGACAGATGCTAAGAATCATATGGACGCAGTTACATTTTTCAGTAGATTTATTAGATTTATGTCCCATATTTATTCTGTGTGTGTATATATGAAAAATTATTTATTTATTCTCTAAATTTTGATTCAATTGTACTTTAATTAGATCCCAAACTTTAGTTCGGTACAACCTAATTCAATAGTTTTGATTTAGTTATAATTTAGTTTTTATAATTTTAATAATTTTAAAAATTAATTTCTACTTTAAAGAAAGGACAACTTTAGTTTTTTATAGTTTTATTTTCTAAATAGAGGGATTAATATTTTAAAGTTTGAAAGAATGTCAATAAATGATCTCGAAAGAAATTTAATTTTTTATAAGAATTTTTAACAAAAAATATTAACAAATTGACAAGTAAAATTATTATTTTAACAATATTCTATCTGTTCAAAGTTCTTGTAAAATATTAAATTCTTTTAGAGATCTTTCATTGATACTTTCTTATTTTATTTTAAATGTTAAAATATGGAGATCAGATTGTATTGAATTATAGCAAATATTAAGTTTTAAATGGGTCAAAACTATATCTAGGTCACACTGAGTAAAAATTCAAGACCTGGATTATAACCAATTAAATCTATGACCCATTGGCAACACTTTTCATTAGATTTAGATTTGTCCCCATTCGTGTGTGCGCGTGCGTACGCATTACCCTTAACACAAATGATGCGTGAGACTTGAGACTTAATAATGAGTGGTATATATAGATCGAGAAGCTTCGAACAGCAATAGCGAAATGCCCACCGGGGTCGACAATGTCAGCTTCGAGCTCAGTGGGAATTGAGCAAATAGAGAACAGAAACTTTTGGAAATTTACAGTGGAATATTTGGACTCGACAAGACGAGGATCATGGAACTAGTTAACCAAGCAATGGAAGAGCTGGTGAAGATGGCCACTTTGGACGAACCACTTTGGGTTCGTAGCGTTGAGACGGTCGTCAAATACTTAATTACGATGAATATGTAAAACACTTCAACTCGAACACTCGACAAACAACAACAACAACAACATGGAAGGCCTACATCGTCAAAGAGACTCCATCGAAGCCTCTAGAGAACTGGGGTTGTTTTTCTGGATCTCCCTCGTCTTCTTCAAATCTTCTTGGACGTGGTACGTATATCCAAAGACTCGAGAAAACTATAACGTTGTAACTACATACTTGTTATAATTTTATGTTATAACTTTACAAGATATATATGTTGTATGCACTATTTATTTGCAGAATCAATGGAAGGAAATGTTTCCGTGCTTAATATCGAAGGCAGCTCTGTTGATGTTATTTGTAATGGTGAAGGTGCTAACAGAAATGGGGCGGTGCAACTGGTGAGAAAATTTTAATTTATAATAATAATAATAATAATGAATGGTTTACTTATTGGGTGCTGTAAGTAATTATTACTCCTTCTGATTCGTAATATAATGCAAATTTTATAAGCTTTTTTTTCCACAAAACTTTTGAATTTTTTTGAATCTTTAATACAAAATAAAGTTAAAGTAATTAATTATTTTTTTCTAATTTTTCCCTTGTTTATTTATTATAGCCTAAACTCCTAGAAAACAGTTTAATAAGAAGGCAGGCAATATTAAAAAGTTACATTTTTTAAAACAATTTCAAGAATATCTCCATTTTTAATAAATGTGAAGTTAGTTAACTTTAATTTGCCTTATACTAAAGAGGTGAGGGAGCATAATGCATATTTAAGAAAACGTCTCATTTAATTACTTCAAGATCGTATGCAGCCATTTCAATAAAGTAATATAAGAGCATCGATCAAGTAAGACTCGGGGTGTTGTTTGCTGCCCATTTCTACTGTCCCGATGCCCAAAATCTAAGTTTCATTTCAGCTTCCCCCAAACGAAGGGCTGGGATTTTGGATATTACAGGGCGGCAGGCACTATAAATCTGCTTACACACGCTATATTATAATACATGAATACGTGAATATATCATATGTGTGGTTTGTTTTATTTATAGTAAAAAACACTAATATATAATGTATTGATGAGACGAGTGCAGATGTTCAGCGAGGTGCAAATGCTGACACCTATGGTGGGGAGTAGAGAAGTGTATTTTGTGAGGTATTGCAAGCAACTAAAGGAAGAAGAGTGGGCCATCGTTGATGTATCCATAGACAAAGTGCAGGACAGTACTGAGGCTTCTCTCCTCAATTGCAGAAAACGTCCCTCAGGCTGCATTATTCAAGATACTTCCAATGGCCACTGCAAGGTATATATTACATGCATATATATATATAACGTACAAAACTGTATTGTTAAATTGCCAACAGTGCAATTAATGAGGAGGTGTATTGAATTATTCTGACGAAGGAAACGTACATTGGTGTCGTTAGGTAACATGGGTGGAGCACATGGAATGCGAGAAGAGCACAGTCCACACAATGTACCGAAACATCGTCAACAGTGGGCTGGCCTTCGGGGCAAGACGCTGGCTCGCCACTCTACAACTCCAATGCCAACGCCTTGTCTTCTTCATGGCCACCAACGTCCCCGTGAAGGATTCTTTTGGTCAGTTATTAAGCAGCGAAATGAGATCACATCTTAACTTTAAAATCAAGACTTGGCTTTATAATTAGCTATATATATGGAATGTAGGTGTTGGGACGATAGCTGGGAGGAAGAGCGTGTTGAGGTTGGGTCAGAGAATGACGAGAAGTTTCTGTCACGCGGTAGGGGCATCAAGCTTCCATTCATGGACCAAGTTTAGCGGTGAGAACGGGGAAGACATAAAGGTGAGTTCCAGGAAGAACTTGAATGACAGAGGAGAGCCTCTTGGGGTGATATTGTGTGCTGTTTCTTGCGCATGGCTTCCTGTCTCACCTAATCTTCTCCTCGATTTCTTGAGGGACGAAACTCGACGTACTCAGGTTCTTACCTACCACACTACTACTGACCAGGTCAAAATTTAAAATTTTTATTTTACGTAAATTAAAATAATAGAAATTAAAATGCAGTCAAAACTATTAGATCAAATGATTATTTTTTTAAAAAAATTAGTTTAGTATTTGGTGAATTCTAGCATTTGGGGGATCACACGATTCATCTTACGTTTATCCTTGTTATAGTGGGATGTGAGAACTGGTGGTGAGCACGTCCAGAATATTGTGCACTTGGCCAAAGCAAAAGATCGAGGCAACGCCGTAACCATCCAGGTTGGCTATTTTCTTTGTTTTTCCTAAATTATTATTATTTAAATAAGCACAAACGAAACCCAGGTAAAAGCTACCCAATTTTCATCTAATGTTTGCAAAATCATAAAGTATTTTTTTTAGCAAAATTATCCGTATCAATGAAGTTCATTAAATACAGTTTATAATTTTAATTTTGTATAAATTTTTAAAAATACAGAGAGGGAAATAAATTTATTTAAGGAATGAAATAATAAGGGATAGTATTAGAATAATTAGCATTCATGAAAGATTTTCTTTTCAAAAGGGAAAACACAATAATGGACACTATAGCTTGATCTGATTTTGCTTTTAGTCTCGATAGTTTTTTTAATACTTTTATTTTTTATAATTTCAGCAAAATTAATTGACGTTTATTCCCTAGATCTCCAATGATATTAAATTACATGAACTATGAGGATTAAAAATATTAAAAAGAAATTTCAGGGATTAAAAGCAATAGAGACTAATAATTGTGTTTTTCCTCCTCAAAATATCTTGTATTTGAAATTTCAAATTAACTCCAAAAATATTTTATAAAATTGGAACCCACGGAGTGTATATCAACATATAAAGAGGTCAGATGGTTGACTATGAGGAGTGTGTGTCTCATTCAAGTTAATTGGGCCCATCCACTGTTCTTGTCTCTCAACCAGAACACATTGATGCGTAGGAACCAAAGATCAGCTCTAGTTTTCCAAACTACGTACGTAAATGCTACAGTAGTCTAAAACGCGCCTTCAAAACATGCATGTTTCTATATATATATATATATATAATATAACAAAGAGCTACATATATAAACATCGGATATTTACCACATTTTTATATAGGCAGTAAAATCAAAAGACGATAGCAACAGCACGTGGATTTTGCAAGACAGCAGCATGAGTACATACGAATCGACGGTAGTGTATGCTCCGGTGGACATGGCTCGCTTGCAGTCAGTGATCGCAGGCTGCGACTCAAGCGACGTCCCGATTCTGCCGTCAGGCTTCTCCGTCGTTCCCGACGGCCTGGAGGCCATACGCCCATTGATGATCACTTCTCGATCAACGCCTGAAGAAGACGACGAAGAAAAGGTCACAGAAGGAGGGTCTCTGCTCACCATCGCCTTCCAGGTCCTCGTCAGCACTTCTCCTTCTGCTAAACTAACCCAGGAGTCTGTTGACTCAGTTAACACCGTCATGTCTTGTACTTTGAGAAATATCAGAACCAGTTTACAGTGTGAGGATACTTAGTTTAATTATGATATCCAATATATAGGTTATTTTTCACGTTTGAGCTGTGTGTGTGTGTGTATATAGGGAGAGAGAGTTTAGAAGAAGTGGCTTGTTTTAAATTCTCCACTTTTCATGGGGTTTGATTCATTTGTTATTCGTTCATTTGAAGTTTGGGTTTGCAGTAAATAATATGAATATACTTGTATCTGGATTTCCATATATACAACGATAGACAAATAATTAACGGTGTCTTACAATATCAAGGGATTTATGATGTATATTTTTCCATGTCCAGATTTATGCCAATTATTGAAAATAATGCTTGGTTGGTTGTGTTTGTTTAATTGTTTTGGGGATTTTTTTTTTTGGTGTGTGTAAATGCATGCAGTCTCTACCTCCCTCGTTATCTATATATTTTGTTTCATTAATGAGATATATCGAGTTAAAATAAAGATTAATGATTTAAATTTGAATAAGTTGAATTAAATAAAATGAGTGTGTCTGTATACCTATTGACGTTCTAGTATCTAATTAATCTGTTTAATTAACTTGTCATTTGGAGGTTTTATGATACCTGCCAAACTTGAAAAAACAAAGCACGGAATATTTATCTTGCATAAAACACATTGAAATCCTCAATTTCTAAGATGGATTTTACAGTAAATATATCCAAGTTTTACTTAAGATAATTAATTACCAACAGGTTGATTGACGATTGAGTTTAGTTATTAATAGATTTAAGAGTAATTAATTGTACAGAGCAGGATTTTAAAGTTATTTTTTCATTTAATTAATTATCATGGAATTTATGAAAATTAAAAAACCTGCAATTAATAAAAATAATCCTTTATTTACAAGTATTTAATAATTAATTAATTAATTTGCACTTATTCCTATAATTTAGTTTTTCATGCAGCTTTAACAAGTAACAAATGGCATCACAAAAGGAAAATGGAGAAACCACCTTTAATTTTACTCCCAAATTCAAATTTAATTATAAAATTGATCCATAAATTTTAAATTAATTTTCAAATGATCAAATGACCACCTAGTAGTAGGAAAAGGTTTGTCGTTGTTGTTTCAAATAATCAAATAAAATGAAAGCACGTTGAATCTAATTAACTTTTTGAATATAAAACACTATTTGAGAAAAAAATCTGTAACTTTAATTTTAACTAAGCCAAAAAATGACAATAAGAAATAAATGAAGTGGCTTTGAAGAAGTTAGCACTTAATTCAGTATAATTGTCGTTTTTCAGAGGAAATCACTTCAGTTGTCAAGCAACAAGTATAGATCATAAATATTTAGACAGATCCCACCAATAACTTATTCTCCAAATTTAGTATTTATAATGTAATTGGCTAAAATTGGAGCATGGGTTGTCTCTACTTCCTTTCTCTCTATTTCTCCTCCATTCAATCTCTAAAATGGTGCAGTTTTGATCATAAAAAGTATAGAAAAAAAAGAATAGAAAGCAACTAAAAGAAAGAACCTTGGTCTTGTTAAGCCTGACATTTCTCCTCTCACCTTTCCCTGCACACGGTCTAAATTAAATGTTATTGTTATTGGTTTTATTTTCATTTTATATTTATTAAAATAAAAAATTATATATTATAATTTGTTTTTTATATATTTATTCCATTAAACTTGTACTTTCAACAATCAACAACAAGTATTTATATGTGTTTTGATAACAACTCATTTGAATTAACAACAATTTATTTATGTTTTAATGAGTTGGAAAAACGAAAAAAGACAAGCTTAACCATATAAATGCTAGTTTTTTATCAACAAATATCTATTCAAATTTTCATAACAATTTATTTAAAATTAACAATAATTTATTAGATTTTAACAAAAAAATTGATAGGATAAATTTAATTATACAAGTATTAACCATGTATTAATAAATATTCATTTAGTTTTTATAACAATATATTTGTGATTAAAATAATGCATTCATCTTAGTAAGTAAAATGTTTAAAACTTTAAAGCTTTCAATTTTAACTGATCATCTTAAATTAATAAATAATATTAATAAAATAATTATTTTTTAAAATTAATAAACACACTGTTTTGTTACAGCGTAAAAGTAGCTTAAAAGCTCAAGTTATTACATGTAAATGTGTATATATATTACCATATATGATGAAATAGGCTTAGTTTAAAAACTATATTGAATTTTTAAAATCTCATTTTCCTTTACTAATATAAATATGCTACACCTGCCGTGCACTTTGAGTGATATTTTCCCAACAAGTAACGGAGAAGCTGGCGATAGGCTTATCCAATTCCGAACCACGTGGCAGAGCGTTAATGAATTCCCAAATCTGCGAGTGACGTGGCATTTTCTGGCCAAGTAATAATATATTCTCATTCTCACTGCAGCACCCAAACAGGGAAGAAGAGGAGAAATAATAGCGAGTTAGTGACCATGGCTTCTCTGGCAACCTTAGCTTCCATCCAACCAGCTTCTGTCAAAGGCCTCGCCGGAAGTTCACTTTCTGGAACTAAGCTCTCTATCAAGCCCTCCCGCCAGAGTCTTAGACCTAGAAATTTCAGGTTTCATACTACATTTTCTCTGCTTTTGTTTTTTTAAAGTTCATATGAAATTGAAATATTACAATTAATTTAGCTTCAAGAATGTTTTATTATTTATCGGATTCTGATTCTGATTGCAAGTTCGTGTGTAACTCAATAGGAGTGGAGCTGTGGTGGCCAAGTATGGTGACAAGAGTGTGTACTTTGATTTAGAGGATATTGGCAACACTACAGGGCAGTGGGATTTGTATGGATCTGATGCACCTTCTCCTTACAACCCTCTTCAGGTTTGTCTCTTTAATTTCTTCTTTTCCAAGCTATGGAGTATGGAGACATTGGCGAAAACTTGAACATTGACAGTTTCGAACTTGGAAACACCAAACTTAAGAATTTGAATCAAAAAAGATCTCCATAGTGAACAAATATGCATATGATACAAGATGAAAGTGGTAGTTTAGAAGAATTTTGTTAACCTTAGTTCGGATGGTTTGCTGATTGACAATATGAGATTATCTTGACTGGAGACAGAAGATCAGCGTGATGTGTCAAGCGTATATATGTAGGATATCTGATATGTTTCTTGCTGTGATTTGTCTCACAAATTAGAAATTCTACAGTTATGCAGTCTTGTGAGAGAGTAATACATAAGGGGGCGAGACTTTGTATTTGTGTGTGTACATGAGACTTACTTTCTCAATTTATATTCACCATTTTTCTGTCTCTCTCAAATATAGTCACAAAGGATCTGATAAGGGTCGAATATGTCACTTGGTTGCTTGCTATCTTGTTGGGTATTTATGTGTATGCATCCATAGCTATTTTGAATGGTAGGCGGGTCAAGCCATGTTAATAAATTAATCTAGGTGAGAAATTATTTTTCTGCATGTCCATATATTGCTGGCATATGTCACTAGTAGGAGAAATTCTTGGGTAATCACCAACTACTTCCCAAGATAAATATTCTAAATCCTGAAGCGGCAACCTTGTGAACATTCAGAGGTAAGGTCTTGCAATTTTATGAACACATCAGAGGTGAGGTCCATGAGAAGTTACTAACATGTCAAGTTATGCCTCCTTGGTTGTAGTTAGATTATGTATCTAGGAACTTGCTAACATGCGAAGGCATGGCTTTTCATTTTCACTGAGTCTTTGTTAGGTGTCATCTTTCAATTTGATCATTTCACCATCCACCTCAACGAATCAAAGATTACACAACATGTGAGTCTAATTCGTTGACATGGATTTGCAGAGCAAGTTCTTCGAGACATTTGCTGCTCCATTCACAAAGAGGGGATTGTTGCTCAAGTTCTTGATATTGGGAGGTGGCTCTACTCTCGCATACTATAGTGCCACAGCTACAGGTGACGTTCTTCCAATCAAGAAGGGCCCGCAACTTCCCCCTAAGCTTGGTCCACGTGGCAAGATCTAAGCTAGTTTCAGAATTACATGTTTTTAGTTTCCTTCTTCTGGTTGAATTTTATCTGTTTTTATAATGTGTATTTATGTCCAACTTTGCTATTCAAAGATGTTAATTTCCATTTTAACCTAATGGCATTGCTCTGATTTTTAATTGAATCAGCGACCTGTTAGTTTGGACTATTTGATTGTGATTTTAGTCTTAATTCAGAGTTGAGGTATGTCTAGGAGCAAATCGGGCGACTTACGCCTTTTGAAGGAAGACTCTGTACTTATTAGCCAGAGTAAAGAGGCTTTAAACGATAAGTTGTGTCCGTGCCAAATTAGAAACTCGTATTAGAGACACTAAGACTAAACCTTCAGGTTCTGGCAAACATTTTATATTTTATAGCCACTTACCCAACTTTTGTTTCTTACTCATTGTTTTCACTTCGTGCGGGGCTCATAAACATGGCAAACAATCAGTATTGGATATAAAATATAAAATCTACATTATTCACAATTAATGAATGAACAATGCAACCTTTTCTTTTCAAACCCCTTGTATATCTAGTTTTGTCAAAGTTGTGTGTTAGACAGCTTGGCCTATATAATGTCTTTAGCTGAAGTATTCTAACATAATACAGGACAGAAAGGGATTTAAAAAAAAAAAAAAAAGAAGGACTTTGTGAAATCATCAGAAATCACAATTTCGTAGCTACCAGACTACAAATCCTTCTTATGTAAGAGGATATCATAGCTGACAATGCCTCAGACCCGACGACTTTGCTTGTTCAATCCTATGTACAAAAAAATTAACAAGGAATAATCAAGTCTTCGTCACATCCCATACTTGTTTTTCCCTGTCATCTTCTTCTCCTCTCTCAGGCAACTGTTCGTCTATTATAAATTTCCAAATTTTCGTTCTCTCTCTTCCCCTAATCGTTAGTGGCGAGACGTTGGACTTCTCACACCTCCCAAATTCTCAAGGTAGGACACTTTCTTGGTGGCTATGTTGGGAAGCTTTTGATTCTTTGCATCAAGGTCCTTGATGAAGTCTTCAGAAACCTGTGACTCCTTCTTCATCTCGGAGTCACCTTGATCAGCTTCCCATCCCATAAAATCTAATAGTGTCATTGAACCAGGTGTTTCTGTACCACTCTTTTCTGTCTCTTCTTTAGGAGTTCCAAACTTATCTGATTTTGCAACTAGCGGTGAATTTCTGCTAACGCTTCTTCTTCCTGATTGTGATGGAACTTGAGTTTGCTGATCTGCATGGAGTACATCTTCTATTCTTGATAGTACTGTAAATGCCAAACTTTCCAGAATTCTTGAATAGCTTTCTAGAACAGCTTGCCCTACATCCTGCCAAGGCAATAAACACATAATTAAATTTAGCCTTCTTTTAAGAAGCTTAGACACTGACATGCATAAGTGTAAGTATCTTCTAGAGTTCTTAATTATGAAGAGTTCTTTTTTCTCTCATTCAATCCTTCTTCCTTTTTCTCTCTGAACTTTTTAAGAACTTTACTATCAAAACTTCTAGAGCATCTAGACTCTATAGAAAGGAGAGGGGATGGAACTAGGTTCTACCATTTAGGTTCTCAGCTACATATATGTTGCATTTAGTAAACATCAATGTTTAGTAAAAATTATGCATCTGGCCCTTCAAATTCTATGCTTGCCTCTCATAATTATTAAAATTTATAAATTTCGCCTCCCTTAAAGTTTTTTCTTGGTTGGGTCCCTGGAAAGGAGACCCGTGTAACATAAAGCAGAAAACGGGGAATAGAACTGAAGATGCCAACAGAACATGCTCTTACCCCATTGTATTGGATTTTACTTATGTCTAATGCAGACTGAGGGATCCCGGGGAAACGATGCTTTAGGAGAAGTAAGATAGTTTCTGCTCTCTCTTCAAAAAGTTCTCTTTTTTCTAGACTCACAGCTGAACTCCAAGATGATTTGCTATCTTTCTGGATCATCTTCCTCTTCCAAATCACTATAGATGCCTCCATTCTGTTCTTGAGATCTAGAATCTTGTGTTCTGATGATAAGTCAATTCCCATTAGGAATTGGTCAGGATCAAAAAATTCATCAGTGATGCTCCGGTAGATTGAGTCCCCTAGACTTGCTCTCCCATTCTGTAAAATGAAAATTAGAAAAGATTGCGGGGATTTCAGGAAGAGATGTAAACATTGATCTTACCTTTGGTAGGGATTCGATATAACTTTCAGGAATCTCCATTTCTGATAGAACTTGAGCATTTATGGCCATTGCGGCTTTGAGTACTTGATTCACACAATCTTTCTGATACTGCAGAAATTTTCTTGCACCGTCAGATAAACCCTCTGGTGGAACCTTAACTGAAGGTAACCACCACTTATCATCATTTTTTGACCTATCCCCATTGTCAGCATCTCTTGATACATAATAGAACTCCTGTTGTTCTTTGAAGTTGTCTAGGCAATCCTGCTCATAATAATTATCGATAATGTTATTATCGAACATAATCAACCTGAGAGGGATGAATATGAGCATAGTGAGTTTTGAGGTCTTACAATAAGCATTGCATCTAGCTTGCGCAAGGCAGGGATATTCATGTGGAGATCTGTCCGCTGTCGTGTTGTCATGATCTGTTTCAATCGAAGTTTTTGGTGATATAGCCAGTGACATTGTGAGGGGGGCCCCGGGGGGGGGGGAGGGGGAGGGGAGAGAGAGAGAGATACCTCCATGTTTGAACCATCCTTGGATTTTTGTTGTGAAGGAACCATCTCAACAATGTAATCAGTAACTGATAGAAGCCAATCGATTTCCTTTCTCCATTTTGCTTTTCTTTCTGCTGGCATTGGCTCTAGGCGTTTTTGTTCACCGAAAATGGAAGCTGCATTCTCAGAAAAGAATATTAAATAGTACAATGAATCTGAATGTTCTTGCTATCAATCACTCTTACAGATCATGACACGCGAACCTCTCTATCCCAAAAAATTGAATTGGAGAAAATTAAATTTAACGTACCTGCAAGGTTTGTGAATGCGTTTGACAAGGCCAAAGCAGAAGAAACACCCTTTCCTCCACCAGACATATCCTCACCTAATAGTAGTTTTGCAAATCTCTCCTTCATCTGTTCCATTTCTGAATTAAATCGAACCATAAATGTTCAAGTTATAGGCTGATTCGGTGCTGTTTATCCACATGATTTGAAAAACAAGGAAGATGAAAGATAATATATGCATAAAGACTAAAACTTGTGCATTGACCTTGAAGAAGCTTTTCTCTGACTTCTTTGATTGCTTGTTCATCTCTGGCTTTTTGTGATCTGTGAACCCTATCTAATGCATTCCTAATTTGGTTATCTGAACTATCATTTGAAGATTTTGATCCTTGACTTCTAGATGATGCTTCGTCTGTAGTCTCCAAAATGCTAGCACTCTCAACACTTAGACTCTTTGCATGCCTCCCAGGGAGGTCAAACATACCTTTGAAATTGAAGAGCTTGGACCTGTAAGTTTCCTGCTCTTCTGAACGACCCATTTTCTTAAAATCTTCACCAAGGAAGACACTTCAAGGGACGACGACGCTGAATTAGGAAGAACAGAACATGTGGTTTCGGAGACCTGTTTGGAAGATAGTAGGAGAAGGAAGGGAGGAAGGAAGAAAGAATAACTTTTTCTTTTTTTAATTTTCTGGGTCGTTTCCTGAGAGAGAAGAGGAAAATTCAGAGGAGAAGCTAGAGTTTGCAATGAAAACCCAATATTTTTTTAGGAGATTGTGTGTGAAGAATTTGACAGAAAGTGTGGAGGTGATTGTCTCATGGAATTTTTCCTTATTTTTGAGTCAAGGGTTTAATAGAACGTGGGGTGCATGTTGTAAGAAAGGAGATGGGTTTAAGAGCGAGAAAAAACAGAAATTTGCATTATTTTTTTGTGTCTAAGGAGGAATCTGTTTTACTTAACATGTTGGATGGCTGGCGTTCTAATTTGAAGGTCAATGGTTGCTGAAGACCAGGGAAGACAGATGTGTATTTCTACGCATTTCCAAACCAACCAAAAAAAAAAAAAGGTTTATATCTCAACATTATGTTGTGTTCAATTAAAACAGCGTGTCCATATGTAAAATTTAATAACAAACACCTAAAAAGTGAAAACCAGAATCACAGTAAGTTTTTGGACATGCTAACCCCCAAGAAATGGACGATGCTTGGCCATCAGTTAAAAAGAAAAAAAAAACTAAAAGATATTTCATTTTCAAATCCAAAATATTCTGTTGGTTTTGCACTAAGGTGAGGGAATCTTGGGACCAATATCGTGGATTGTGGTTTGGCCACAGAAACGAGATTCTGTTACTAGATTTGATTATTCTTAGAGGATGCTATTTTTTGAGGAGGTGAAGCAAACTGCCACATGCCACTTGTCTTCAGGAATCTGAATTAGTCTCTTGTCTTCCTAAAAATCCTAATTCCTACTGGCCAAAAAAAAAAAAATCCTAATTAGTGAGAATAATATAAAATAAAATAGATCGCGTTTCAATTATTTTTTATCTTGATTTTTTTTAAAATAGTGGATTTCTGGAAGAATTGTAATTTTTTTAATTTGTCAGTTCCTTGTCAACAAAAGAAATGATCTTGAAGACTTAAACTAAGAAATTCTAAATCAAGGCAAAAGTAACAACCCTAGGTCAAATTAGTTGGGTGCTATTTGGATAATTAATAATTAATAATACATGTTTATAGACTTGTAGCAATATTGTAGTTTTTTTTTTTGTTGGTGGTACAGAGATAAATCATGAACTGTTTGAGTCGTACTTAGAAGGACATTGTCCTTAAGAACTATTCCGGCATAGCAGGATAACCGACCGGCAATTCTTCAAAATTAAACAAGCACTTCCTGCACAATGTAAGGGCACAAAACAGCAGTACTAACAGAAGAAACTCAGATGAAGAGAAGTCGGAGGAAGAAGAGAATGCCTCAAAAGCTCAAGAGGCTGGCAAGCTGTTCAGTCCGAATGCATGCCTATATATCGGCCAGATCTTGGATTCGAACATTAGACATTCAATCACTGGAGTAAAGGCTCAGTTACACTCTCATAAAATAAGTTTAAGCATCTGTTTGGAAACGTTGGGGGTTACACGAATGTAAAACACCTTTAAGCTCTTGCTTGAAAACGTTGGGGAGACAAATACGTTTAGTAAATTAATTTGGTTAATGGCCAAAAAATGGTCATGGTTTGATTTTAAACTCCAAACAGCCAAAAACTGAGATTTTTCGATAAGCTAAAAATAATTAATTATTTATTTATTTTGCAAAAATAATCCGATAAAGGAACCCAATGCCTCTTGAACTCGCACACAGGGGGCAAATCAGTTGATTTCAACTACAATTACCTAGAGTTGGCCTATTTCGTGCACACGAGCTCACTTCTCTTTTAAATTCATTTTACTAACCCACTTCATTCCTTAGTATTTATAAACTAGGAAAATTCTTCATTTAAGTAATGTAGGACTTTTGACACACATACTTTTGACACACACACTAACGCTGGGAGCACAGGCGAGCCCAGTCCTTAAGTTCTTGAGCCTTAAAACCCAATTTTTTATTTTGAGCCTCATTTCTCAAGCTCGGCCTTTATGTGAAGGGCTTAAGGTCAGGCCCACAAACTATTTTTTAAAAAATAAAGAAATTAAAATAAAATTAAACATTATAAATTAATTAAAATATTTTGAAATTAAAAAAATTAAAACCCTCATAATTTTTTTAGAAATTAAACAACACACATTTAGAAATCTAGTAATAAAATTTAAATCTTGGTTAAAAACAGTTCATTTTTTATAAATACACAAATATGATAATTATAAAAAATAAAAAATATCAAAAATTTTATACTATACACTGATATTTATTAAATTATATTAAATTAATTTTAAAATAAATTAAAATTAATAATAATATAATGCGTGTAGGATTAGAAAGCAGGTCATTAGCTTCAAACACGTATTCCACCAAAGAAAATAATAATACTAATAATATAACAAGGCTTGAAGGGCTGTCCCTGCCCGAGTTTGAGCTCTTTTTTATAGAACTTATCAGGGTCAAGCCTTTAAATTTGATTACTTTAAAAAAAATTTATTTTTAAAGCCCGAACACTTATTTAAATAGGACCTCCAAGCTCGGCCCTTCAGGTCGACCCTTATTTCTAACTCTAACACACACAACAGTTTTATCTATGGTTGTGCAAATATTAAATTAAAACTCCAATTGTGTTCAATTCATTACTTTGAAATATTCATAAAGAGGAATTCAAAGAATTGGCATATAATATTTAGGCCAGATCACCTCAAAATGATCTTATCATCAAGAAAGAAAGAAACAAATTTGTGTTACAGCAGAGTAATATATAAAATTGATAAATGGAGCCGAGGAGAATCAGCAATGATACAAAAAAATTATTTCTATCAAGGCAAATCGAACCAGTCATTAAAATTAAACCAGAAGTTGAAGGATTAATAAATAAAATTGTAATGAAATTATAGTCATACCAATCAATAATGAACAAAACATTTTATTAAACGTTAAACAATTTATTGGTTTAATAGTTCCAGAGTTTTCAATGCTATGATTTCTTTGGAGACAACGAAGGATCAGTAATGACACAAAAAATTCCTGTGTTTTTATGCTCTATGTATCTCTCTTGTCGCCTCCCTGCTGGTGCGGATAACGACGATCAATCAACTGTCTCGCAATATTCTCAATCACGTGTTGGGAGTGGCTTTGTTGAAACTCGCACTGTCATGGCTGATCTTTTGCTTGCAATTTGCAAACTTGGAGGCTCACTTTCTGGGCAAACGACCGATAACTTCTTTGATTTGATTCATGGTTGCAGTACATGTCTCGGATTCTGAAATGATTCCCTCCATTCAATCATCTATCTCTGTATTGGTAAAATAACTAGTTGCTTGTTATGATGTTAAGTACCCCGAATTTAGATGCTGTTTGACACTCAGCTCCAAATTTGTTGAAGAAAGAGCATTAACCAGACATGAAATTTGCATTTCGTGAGAATTTAAAATCCTAAGTGATTGAGCAATTGATGAGCGTGTGGAAATGAGAAATTGCTATATGTAGATCCACATAGAGAGATAGGGAATACGAGGGAGAAGAAGGAGTAAAGAGAAGGATTTTCAACAATGATGATCGATGGAGACGAGTGGAAAAGTTTACAGAGAAGTTTGTCGTGCAGCTGAGATATGAGAGAGAAGGTAATAATTGCCCCCAAATTTTTTAAAAAAAAAGGTTTAGTAGTCACGTTCTTCTATCAACAGCTACCCCACTCGTCGAGATCGTCCTCTGCAAAACCATTTCCTAAACCCTAAACCTAACCGGAGAATGGAATCCATCGGTGTTCTAATGCCCCACCCAACTTTCCCTTACTTAGAGGAACAGCTCGACAGGCGGTTCAAGCTATTCCGCCTCTGGAACAATCCGAATAAGATCCAGTTCAGCAACGACAATGCTATTGCCAACTCCATACGCGCCGTCGTTGTGAACTCCGTCGACGGTGCCGATGCCGATCTGATCGGCGCGTTTCCGAATCTTGAGATCGTGTCTTGCTATGGTGTAGGGGTCGATAAGATCGACAGGAGCAAGTGCGCCGAGAAGGGCATTCGGGTCACCAACACTCCGGATGTGATAACCGATGAGGCGGCAGATTTGGCCGTTGGGTTGATTTTGGCTCTCTTGAGGAGGCTGTGTGTGTGTGATCAGTATGTCAGAAGCGGAAAATGGAAGCGAGGCGACTTCAACCTCACCAGTAAGGTAATGCAATGAAAGCATCTGAAATTCTGACAAAAATTGTTCATGAAATCTTCGGCTTTTCGACTTTGTTTCATTTTTAATCCTTCTTCTTCTTCCTTCAGAAGTACTCCTACTTAAACATCGAGAGTGATTGTGATGAACTTATCTCCTTACCATAATTTGACATATAAATTATAATGAAGCAGCAAGAGCTGAAAATCTCGGACACTGGTAGGTTCTGATATAAGAACTAATTCGACAACTCAAGGTCATCAAATCACTCGTAGCCTAATCCTATTATCACCTAAGAAGATTCATAATTCAAGACAGATCATGCATGTTTACTTGAAGTAATTAGGTGGTAAATGGTTTTGTGCAAATCTAATTGAGGACTTGTTCTTTATACTATAATCTCCATTCTCCACCACCTTTAATTTCTCTGTTCATATCTCTTCTGGCATTTCTCTGGTAAAACAGTGGGCGTTGTTGGATTGGGAAGGATTGGCAAGGCAGTTGCAAAGAGGGCTGAAGCATTTGACTGTAAAATATGCTACCATTCAAGAACTGTAAAACCAGAGTCCAAATACAGGTTCTAACACAGATTTTCAGATCCATTCTCATTAACCCATGACTACTGGTTCCTTCCTGAGAAGCACCAAATGCAGGGTGCATATCGTATGGGACACGTGTCTGATATGAATGCATTTTTTTTTTTTAAAGTATCTGTGCTTCATAGGTTTCCTCTTTATACAAGACTAAGAACAAGCTATGTAACTGCTGTAACTTTTGTTGTGTCAGATACTATCCAAGCCTTGTGGAGTTAGCATCCAACTGTGACATCCTCGTCGTGGCGTGCTCGCTTACGAAGGAAACCGAACACATCATCAATGGTGAAGTGATGAATGCGCTTGGTCCCAAGGGTGTTTTGATCAATGTTGGAAGAGGGAAGCATGTTGATGAAGCAGAGCTGGTATGTGCACTGCTTGAAGGTCGCTTGGGTGGAGCTGCACTTGATGTGTTTCAAGATGAGCCTAATGTTCCTGAGAAGCTGTTTGAGTTAGAAAATGTTGTTCTTACACCTCATATAGGAAGTGCCACTATGGAAACGCGCACTGCTATGGCTGATCTTGTCATTGGAAATTTGGAGGCTCACTTTCTGGACAAACCTCTTTTAACTCCATTCCTTTAATTCATGCAATTAATTAACCGTGTCCAATGTGACATCCTAAAAACAAAAATTTTGAAACACAAAATATAAGTTGGTCCAGTTTCAGAAGGGCATAATATAATCGTTATTATCCATCTAGAGACTAGTATTTATCTTAGATCTCTTGCTTAAGATTAACTTTTGTGAAACTTGCTTAATTATGAAATAATATGATCACCTGCAGTCCTGCACCACTTGAGTTTCTGTTTTGTATCTGTGTGTACACATTTATCTGAATTTCCAATCCAAATTTTTTGAAATTTGATTAAAACAGAAATAGAGTCCACACTTTCGCCCAAAAGATTGTCTTTGTTGTAACCACATTAATCACCTGTAAACATGATCTTAGAAAAGACCAGGAATTGATAAAGAATTTTTCAAATTAACTGAAAATAATACAAATGAATAGATTGAATTAATATATATATATATATATATATAATATTAAAATATAGCGCATATATATGTATAGTATATAAATCAAGCTATTATAACTTGGAAGGAAAAATTAAGGAATAAATTATTATCCGTTCAAGAAAGTATTTAAAAATTTAAATCTTTTTTAATAACCAATTAAAATTGGCCGCATTCCTAACTTAAACTTGCAGTTGGAGTTTGAATCTTATATGTAACACCATTACTTCTCAATATTTAAGGAGACAATCTCTGAAAAGTATCATTTTAAATATTTTTTTATTTCAATATTTCAAGTGTAAATGTATAACTTTAACAATGAATTATTATTTTAGAGCCATTGAGTATCTTATTTTATAAACTGATGTAAAGAAAATTCTCAACCACTCTATCTATTTAAAAATATAAAATATTTTTAATCGAATCTCACTTTCTAATAAGATAGTTACCTAATTTTAAATTAACACTATCTTTTTATATTTATCCTTATTAAACACTCTATAATAAATATAAAGTCACCATTAATATGAGTACTTTAAAAAAATAATAATAATTACATCTTAAAAAATTTAAAATATTTTATATTTTTTAATATTTAATTTTTAAAAAATATTTTATATTTTTAAGCAAAAAGAGTATAAAAAATTAAACACCCTGCATCTATCATTTACTTTTCACAAATAAACATTGATTTCCAAACTAACGGAACTCACACAAACGCCCAGCACCTTTGACTTTCATCTACTTCACACGCTATTTCTCTCTCTTCCCATATTTCATCTTCTCTCTCTAACTTTATCTTCAATCTCAGCTCTTCAACTTCTCTCTCTAGTCTGATGAGCCGCTTTCGTGATACTGATACATCGATAACCAGTTTGTCGAGGTTTTTGGATGTTGTTCCTGCCTGCCTGCCGTGTATCCTATTTGCTTGAACTTCACATTCTTGGGTCTAAGCTATGTAGTAGGAATTAGGGGTAAAGATCTGAGAAGACTAATCCACCACTGCGGGAAACTTCAACCATTATGGGTGAATCTAATAAGCTGCAAAATCTTTTTTTTCCTTTCGTTAACTAAACTCTATTTTGGTGAATGCTCTAATGATTTTTGTATGCAGATACTGGATTGCATTGGAGACAAAGGACTAGGTGTTGTAGCTGCTACCTGCGAAGATTTGCGAGAATTGAGAGTTTTTCCAAGTGAACCCTTTAGGGTTGGGTCTGGATTTGTGACGGAAAACGGACTTGTTATATACTTATATACATCAATGGGTTATTGCTCAAAGCTTCATTCACTGCTTTACTTCTACCAACAGACAACTAATGCCGCCCTCACAACCGTCGTTTGAAGAAAGAGGATCCAAATTGTATCAAAAAAAAAAAGAGGATCCAATAAACTTGTTTGTCTCTTCAAACAACCGTTAGCTTCAACTCAATTGAAGGTGCCAGATGTATCATTTTTCATAGTTGATGAAAAAAGATACTTAGTGGTTATTAGAAAAAAATTTATGTTTAATTTTTCACCTTTAATAATGTTTCACAAAGCCATTTTCATAATAATTTGTTCCATTGTTTATTAAAAAAACTATATCCATAATAAATCACTTCTGCTTTTTTATTTGTATAAAAAGGGAAATTATCATTCAAGAGTTGCTGAGGTAATTTAATATTAAATAAAAATTAAAACATTTTGAAATATCATTACAAGGCCAACAAATTGATTTAAAAATAATTATAAATGAAAAAACTATAATACCCTGCTTCTCTTTTTCTTTTTTCAAACTTATTAATTAGCCAATAATTTTTTATTAAATATGAATATGTACTTATTGAAACATAATCTATACTTGTTCCTTTTTACAATTAGACTCTTTTAAATTCTTAAATTTGTTAGTTAGAGAATGGCTTTTTATTAAATGTAAATGAATATTTATTAATTAACTAATGACTATTTTATTAAAATATGATCTACGTTTGTTCTTTCCCATAACCAAACTTGACTTTCATATTTTTTAATTTACCAATTAGCTAATAACTTCTTGTCAGATACAAATGTTTATTTGACAATTAATGAATAAGTACTTGTTAACTAAAAAAAAAGCAATAATATTATATTTTTTATTTAAAATTATTTTTAAATCAGTTCTCTATCCTTATTTTAATTTTTTTGTCTTTATTTAATATTAAATATGTGGTACTTGAATGATTTTTTTTTTAAAATTTATAATTAAAAAGTTTTATGACCTTACCTTTATTTTCCTTTGCAAATCAAATAAAAAAGAAGAAGGAAAAAAAAAAACTACCAATTGAAATTGGGAGGGGCCCTTTCTCTCTCTCTTCTCTCTACTTCTCTGATTTTTTACCGTTCATTTCGTTTTACTAAATAATTTTGTAATTATAGAATTAATAAAAAGTGGAGATTGAAGAAGTAGGGAGGGGGAAAAAGGGGAAATGCCCCTCCCCCAACCATATTCGAGTTCCTCGTCCTTACATCATCACAATTCACACAGCACGGCTACTCTACTCTCCAATGGAATCCATTGGGGTGCTTATGACCTGTCCAATGCTCAGTTACCTCGAAGAAGAACTCGAAAGGCGCTTCAAGCTCTTCAAACTCTGGAACTATCCCTCATTCCCTTATTTTGCACTGTCAAACTCAACTTCAATTCGTGCAGTCGTCGGAGATACTAAAATCGGTGCCGACGCCCAGATGATCGATTCGTTACCAAATTTGGAGATTGTCTCCACTTACAGTGTGGGTTTGGACAAGATTGACTTGGCAAAATGCAAGGAAAGAGGCATTAGGGTCACCAACACGCCCGATGTGTTGACGGACGACGTTGCGGATCTTGCCATTGGATTGGCTTTGGCGGTATTGAGACGGATTTGTGAGGGTGATCGGTTCGTGAAGAATGGCTTGTGGAAGAAAGATGATTTCGAACTTGGTGTAAAGGTTTGCCCATTTCCCTCTTCTTGTCTGAAGTTGCCGCAATAGCAATGGTAATTCGTTTGCCTCTCAAATTATAGTTTAGTCTTTTGTTTTTGTGAAAGAAACGCGCCTGAGATTATAGGTTCATGGCAGATTGATAGCTTTTCTATTCAAATTTTGTGGAACAAATTAACTCATTATTTCCATATTCAAGTACATTGTCATTTTGATTGGAAGATGAGACATTATCGTTCCCTCATTCAAAGATTGTATTTTGGTATTATTATACTATGTTTTGTTTCTAATCAAATTTTTGCATGGTAAACGCATATTAAGTCTTCTCGAGGGATCCCTAGACATCAAGGGGATATTGACAGGACAACTAAAAAAAGAAAAACTCAATGCATGCATGCTCCTGAATGCCTTGGACTATTTCTCAAGTTTTCCTGACCTAATCTTAATATGGTGCTTCTGATCTAAATTAGCTAGCAATGAGGGAGGATGAGGAGTTACTAGCTTCTCAACATCTTCTACATATCGTAGTGAATAATGTTGTGCATTTCAGTTCAGTGGTAAAGCAGTTGGAATTATTGGTTTGGGAAGGATTGGTTCAGCAATAGCAAAGAGAGCTGCAGCTTTTGGGTGCCCAGTCAGTTACCATTCAAGAACTGAAAAACCAGACACAGGATATAAGTACTACTCTAATATCTTAGACTTGGCAGCCAATTCTGAAATCCTTATTGTCGCCTGTGCTCTTACCAAAGAGACCCATCACATTGTTAATTGCCAAGTTATTGGTGCATTGGGATCGAAAGGCATACTCATCAATATTGGGCGAGGGAAACACGTTGATGAACCTGAGCTTGTGCGTGCACTGACTGAAGGAAGACTGGCTGGGGCAGGGCTTGATGTGTTTGAAGATGAACCAGAAGTGCCTGAGCAGTTATTTGGCCTTGAAAATGTTGTGCTCTTGCCTCATGTTGGGACCGACACCATCGAAACTTGCAAGGCAATGGCAGACCTAGTGATCCAAAACTTAGAGGCACATTTCCTTGACAAGCCACTTCTGAGTCCTGTTATTTGATTAAGGTCTGTGACTCTAATCTCTAAAATTTGATATATGTTTCCCTTTCCAACACTTAATCATACTGGAAATCAGTTATGACTAGTGTTTCTGGAGATTGGCATATATCACTCTTAAAAGTCAAGAACTTTGATAGAACATGGATGTAGGCAAAATTTATGTTTAGGTTCCTGACTGAGTTTGAGCAGTCAGGTTCACCTGCATCAGTACGATGAATTGATATTTTTCACAGCTTAGCACTAAAGTATTGAAGAATTTGATTGCTGATATATGTTTTTTTTTTAAAAAAAAACCTTTATTATTCGCTGCATATTTCCATTATGGTATACTGACTTCGCACCCATTTGAAGCATGTTTGTCAATGAATATATTCTGAAGGATTTCTCTGTGTATGGGCAACTGCGTGGTGAAACCGATTTCTTACCTGGAACATTATTTTATTATTAGAATTATTTGTTTAGGATTATTTGCTTTATTTGCTATTCCTGACAATTCCTCCAAACGAACTTTCCGCATAAGGGGGCAACAATTATTTTCATGGCATTCAAATTGGAAGTGGCTGATGAGGATTTTGATGCAGTCAGGTTCACTGTCACATTTTGAATTTATTTATCCCAATTTTTTGGCCAGGGTAATTTTTATTGGACTTAGAAAGCGGTTGTGATCTAAATTATATTTTTCTATTTTGAAGAATCATAATTTTTTCATTCATCCTTCTTCTATCATCAAATCTTATCTTTGCTTTCTATCATCTAATTGAAGTACAGCTACAGTCACGGTTACGCTTGCACAGTATATTCATTTTCATGCTTTAGAAAGGCAGAATACATTATAAAGTACCCATCATTAATCTGTATATATATAAGAGATGGATAATTCATCAACGTATGTTGTTCTAAGGGTGTTCAAAACCAATGATATCGAACTGAATTGACATAAACTGATCAAAATTGATTATAAATGAGGTTTGGTTTTTATTTTTATTTTTATTTTTGGGCAAAACGAATTATTCTAGTTTGGTTCATGTTTTTGTTTCCTAAAATTTGAACCAAACTAAATGAAGTTATATTATCTTTATTTTATATATTTTTGTAAATTTGTTTAAATATTTTTATTTTTTCTAAATTTAGTTATCTTTAAATTGATGGTTCAAAATATGTTACGATTAGTTAAATATTATTTATATTTTTTGATATATTTCTTAAGATGAACTTGTTTATAATTAGTTAAATATTGTCTACTACAATTAAGAAAAATGCTATTATATGTATTTGACAATAAAAGGTTATTGTTAGTAGTATCTTTCTGCAAACTGCAAAAATTAACGCTCAAATGCTATCATAAATTCATAATAAACATACTTTAATTAAGTGCTAGTGAATTAAAATTATATAATTCAATAGATGCTTGTAGTTTCATCAGTTTATCATAATTAATAATTTGAAGAATTATATATATGATCACTTTACTATTAGTATTTTTATATTGTTAAGAATATTTAGAGAAAAATAAAAATAAAAAATCTTATCAACTAGTAAGGGGCTATATATATGCATCCTACAAAGAAAAATGACATACTCATACTAAGTGTAAGTTATTAAAAAAAAAGGAAAAAATCAAATAAATATATTGAAGTTTGATCAAGATTTTAACTAACCCAAATCAAACGTAAAAACAAAATTAAATCAAATCAATTTTTTAAAAATCGATCAAGTTTTATTTATGAGTAAATTAACTGATTTGATTTGGTTTAATTTTTGTTTAAAATTGAATCAAACCAAACTCATAAACCTTCCTATGTTGTTCTATGAAAATCACATGAATTTTGAATATGCAGTTGTTCGGCCCAGCAAATCTTCAAAACGCTGAAAGATCTGTGTCAGTATGTGCATGCGTCATTACTCAAAAGAAGCCAGAGAAAGTAACCCAGGCTGGCTCCAAAGAACAGAGACAAAGGGTAGAATGAGACATTCCAAGTAGGAAATTACTGTAAGGGGCCAAAATTCTTGTCTTTCTCTCCATTTTTTTTGGACCAACTCTTTTTCTCCATTCGCTTTTAATTATTTCCCTCCCTCTCCTTGATGATCCAACTAACTCTTTTGTTGTTGTTTCTTTTTTTCCCCTTCCTCTTTTCTAAGTTATTATTGTAGTGGTGACTTGATACTATGACTGTGAATATTTTAATTTAAGCTGACATCAGCTTTTATTGACGGTTGTTTTACAATATACTTTAATTTATTTGTAAGAAATATTTAAATGATGCAAAAGAAAGATTTCGTGCAATAAAAATCTTCTGTTGATGTAGTGCTGATATTCATATTCTCCTTCATCCACCCTACAAAAAAGGGACTGACATTCAGCCAAAAAAAAAAGGGACTGACATCATATCACGTTGATTTGTTCCCTTTGAGGATAAGGCCATAAATAATTATGACATATTGGATTATTCCCATATCTGTCGTCTATATATGTTGTTATTGGGTGGACACAATTTTAAATTGTACTAATACATGTTCTTTTTTCACTAAATTATAATATATTAGCAGTGGAATCTTTAGTGGCAGTATATATATTTGAGCCACAAAAGCTTAACTTGCCAATCGATTTATTATTTTGGATAGCGTTAATGAAATAGTTTAATTTTTTTTATTTAAAACGTGGCCCCGGAGGATCTTGCCCCAACTATATTTTTTAACTTGAAAAATGTCATCCTTATGTGACACTTGTCTAATTTCACACTCACAGTAATATTAAATAACCCACATAATCTTATTCTTATTTCATGTTTCATTAAATTCCTATATAATTTGCTCATTTAAACATAAAATATGCTGAATTCTTTTAACTTGTTAAATTGTGCAACTCCAGTTGAGTTGACTTATGCATTAAGTAATTTGTTACGTTTATGATTTGGTTATTTATTAACTTTTTTATTAATGAGTAGTCAAGTTGCTCTTTTCTTCATACATTTCTTAATTGAAGAGATTATATCATATATCAATTATTAGTATGACATTTCATTTGGTTAAGTTTTAGCCAAAGAAAAAGATGTTAACTTAATTTTATTAAAAAAAAAGATGTTATTCCCTCTATTAAAAAATATAAGGCATTTTTAATTGAATCTCGCTCCCAATAAAGTAGTTATCTACTTTTAAACTAACCTTACTTTTTTATATTTACTCTTATTAAACACCCTATACTAAATCTAAAGTCATTTATAAATAAGGATACTTTTAAAATAAAATAATGATTATACTTCAAAAAACTAAAAATTCTTTAAATATTTGAATATCTAACTCCACAAAAAATACTTTATATTTTTTAAAAGGAATGAGTAACTTAAGCTGTAGCTTGATTTAGGGCTATGCAAAAGTCCTACAATCTTGTCTGATATAGTCCAATTTAAGATAGTCCTGTCCTATTTGATCCTTATAAACATTGGTCCTTTAGGATCAAAAAGACTAAAAAAATAAAACTATTTTTTTGGATTGGACTGGATAGGAGATTAGGCATTTGGATCACTTGATTTAGTCTAGTCCTACTAATTTATTTAACATAATTCTAATTAATTTATTTTTGACAAATGCTTCAAGTGTAATTTACACTAAGGAGATAATTGTATGAAGATCTGTTGAATTTATTTTAAAATTATTATTGTAATGTAGTGTTGTTAAAGTTTTTTTTAGTGTTGTTTTTGTTGAAATTATAAATTTAAATTATTTAAATTGTGAATGAAATATTTTTTGTCTTGTTGAAAATTATTTTGGATTTATTATGATTATAAATGATCTTATTATCTTAATTAAATTTATTAAGTTGAAATAGATTATTACCTCTCATAGAGGAAAAAGTTAAAAAGAAAAAAGATAACTGATTATTGAACTAATAGGACCAATCTTTCAGTCTTATAAATCAAGTTCAGTCCTGTTAATCTTTATGTTATCACTAAACAAGATTGAACTACGGGTTGCCTAACTCAATCCTTTTCATAAAAAAGATCAAACTTTGAGTTAGGTTTGTTTAACTCAGTCATTTTCATGAAAGAGATCAAACTTTAAGTTAGGCTGAAATTCAGTATTGTCTGATCCTTTGTGTCGCTCTATCTTGACTTATGAGTTAAAACCATGCTTCTCACTCTAAAAGAGAGAATGACAATTAAATTAAAAAAATAAATTAAGTATATGTTTCTGATTAAAAATTAATTATATTTAGGTCTTGATCAAGGTACTGAAAACTAAACCGGCCATTGAACCGATCAAGGTTGGGGGTTAGGGGTCAAGGGTTCAACCGCGGGTCAACCCGGATTCAAACCGGACATAATAAAATAATATAATTTAAATAAAAACAAATTCTCTAAGACTTAATATCTTATGTAATATCATATATAAGTCCATGATAATCATCAAAACATCATTAAAAACACAACATTTAAAATATTCATCCTTACAATCCTTTAATCATCAAAAAGTCTAAAGCTAATAATAATCAATACCAAAATCCTCATTAATTTCATTCAAATCTGCGGGAGTAAGGATTGAAACATTAGGAGATGATTGAGAGAAACCAGAACCACTTCCAACATCATCATTCAAATATGGATGCTCTGAAATATTCATATCTTCTTCACCTATTGATGACAAAAATTAACATTAATCATTGTGTAAAAAATAATTATATATTAATATAGATAGACATGTTAGTAAGTATGAACCTTCATTATTTCTCTCAGAAGTTGATGAAGCTACAACATTCTCATTATGCATAGCACTTTCTAAATTAATGACATCATCAGCATCAAACTCTGGAGCTGGCTCTTGTTCCTCTTCAGCAATCCAAAAGTCCAATTTGTCAATAGATTCATAATCAATTGGATCAAAACTTATCTTTTTCTTCAATTGGCTCCTTTAATGAGATCAAAACAATCAAATATAAGTATATATCTACCATGAGATAGTAATAAAATTTTTATTTATGAAAAACATTCATAACTTTTATTTTTATTACCTATTCTTCAATCGTAGATTGTAGTTTGTAAAGACTAAATCATTTAGTCTTTGATGTTCCAATCTATTTCTTCTTTTGGTATGGATGCGTTCAAACAAGCTCCAATTTCTCTCACAACCAGAAGAGGAAGAAGTTTGGCTAAGAATACGCATTGCAAGATTTTGCAACTCTGGAACAGAACTTCCATAAAAAGACCACCATTCATCTGCAAATAAAAGACAATTAGTTATATGTTATATGATAAATAAAATTACCATGATCATATTAAATATTAACACTTACAAGGATCTAGCTTATGTGCTGCTCTATGACATGAAGTTTTATCAAAAGATTCTTTACGGTCACGATACAAGCTCAACTGCTTCATCATCACAATATAATCAACATCTTCATTTTCAGTTGACTCAAACACTGAAAGCATAGCATCCATTAACCTTCTTTTATGAACAAAGTCATCATCATACAAGAAGGCAGGGTTCAACAAATATGCTGTTGCATGAAGATTAGTCTTCAAGTGCTTATCCCATCAGGCTTGGATTATATCTGTGTAAGGCTTGTATTGGTCTTTCTTATTGGTGAAGACTGCCTTAATTGCTTTTTTTGCCCTTTGCATGCCTTCATAAACATAAGGCAAAGAAGGCTTCTCATCTGAATCAACAATTCTCAACAACTTTATAAGAGGAGACACAATCTTCACAACTTCAAGACATTTATTCCAAAACCAATTATCTAATATGATGGCACTAACAATTATTCCAGCTTCGGTCCTTGATAATTTGTGATTCACAAAATGCTTATCAGTGATTAAAGCTTGTAAGTCATGCTTGTGCATATATATGCTATGCAATGTGATAAATGTTGTAGCAAACCTTGTCGCACCAGGACGCACAATTTCTTTCCAACCCTTTCTTTTCCTAAGCCATGACAGGAAGATCATATGATTATAAACAAACACAGTGATCTTTGATGCCTTTGTTGCAAGTTGTAACACATGAGACATACTTGCAATGTCTTTCAAAGTAAGATTCAAGCAATGAGCAGCACAAGGTGACCAATAAATACTTTTATATTTCTCTTTAATCAACTTGCCACATGCTACATAATTAGCAGCATTATCAGTCACCACATGTACAATATTTTTTAGACCAACCCACTCAATCACTTCAGAAAACAATGAGAATAAAGTCTTGGCATCTTTTACTAAATCAAAAGCATCAACAGATTTTACAAATACTATGCCATGTGTAGAATAGACAAGAAAATTTATCAAAGTTCGTTGCCTCACATCTGTCCAACCATCAGCCATGAGTGTACATCCATAAGTTTTCCATTTAGATCGATGACTCTCAATAAGTAGCTGACATTCTTTTTTCCAATCATTCAACAAGTTAACTCTAAATTCATAAGCATTAGGACCCTTAAACCCTGGCCCAATTGAAGCAATAGAATCCATAGCTTTTTGAAAGAATGGGCAATCTAATGCATTAAATGGAATGCAATTGATGATAGCCCATTCAAAAATGGCCATTTTTGCACTGTGTTGTGCTTCTTTAGTTGCAAATGCACTCTTAATACCTGGTTGGGAACCTGGAGTTGTCCTAGAGGCAAAATAATTTTCAACCGGCATAGTAGGAGGTTTTTTTTTACTGGCACTACTCTCAGGGATTAACTTAGATAGAGCAGGTGCATTGGGTTCATTAGCATTCCTCCATGTCTGCTTGCACATCGACAAGTGTTCTCTTCTTCCACTTTTTAATGATTCTTGCATTTGATAACGAACATCAAAAGGAACTTTACTACAAGAAACTGCATTTCCACTTATACCAGCAAGATGATGCTTCAATCTATTTATTCCTCCTCCTTTATAACTCAATGCACAATAAAGACATGTATACACATTTTTGTTGTCTTCTTTTCTTAAAGCAACATGTGCCCATGCAGGATCTTTTTTCCCGCGAACTGATGGAGTTCCAGATGTGGAGTCATTATGGCTAGCAAGGGTGGGATTGTTGGAATTGGGAGTAGGATTGTTGGAATTGGAGGTAGGATTCTCAGTTCCATCATTACTAAAATTACTTCCAATATCCATATTATAACTTTAATCTGCAAGCTATGATAATTTCAACATAAACAAACATCTAATGCAAAAAAAAAAACCAGAGCAGCCGGAGCAATCATAGCAACCAGAAATCCAGAATACAGTACACAAATAAGAGTAACATAAAGCTCGAATTAATTTTCAACAACCAGAGCAAATCAGCATACATACAAAAACGTTTATTGATTGACCACTCTCTCTGAAGGCACAACTCTAAAAAAAAAAAGCAAAATCAGTTTAGTGATCATGTACTCAGCATACCCCTTCCCTTTTCCACTATGCTCCCTGCATATCTTCCTAAGGAATGCATATATGTAATCAACAGCTATTTTGTATGTATGTATGCTGAATCACGTTTATTGCAACTTCTAACTACTGTCTTTTTGCAAGATCCAAAGAGCTGAAGAAGACAACTGTAATAGAATGCTACTAAAGGAATACTATATATATTTTAAGCAGTTGCAATTATGTAAACGTTAAAATGACAAAGAAAAGTGAAAACAAAGACCCACAAGGGAAAATTTCAGTTGAACTTGAAATTTAAAAGAGCCAAGAGAAAATCATTCAACACAAATCCGTGTAATGCAGAATAAATTCAAACAACAAACATCAGAATTTGGTGATTGCATCCAAAATCTGTGGCTCGTTTATTGAGAAAACCAGTAAATCGCAAGAGATTTTGTCGCATAAAAATGTTATAATTACCTGAGTATTAGCAGAGATGGCTTCTCAATTCTCACAGACCGAAGGAGGCGGATCCGAGCACAAACTGTGATGCCATATCAGTGGATGAAAAGAAAATCAGATAGACACAGAGACAAGCAAAGAAGCTGATGAACATCCTGGGTATTCTTGCGAAAGGTTAGGGCTGATGAGACGAGATTCAGCCAGAGATGAGACGGTATTTACCTGTTTAGCATCCAGATTCAGCCAAAGATGAGACCAGACGAGGGAAAACCGATGAACTTCGGACTGGGACAACGTGAACTGCGTTCGACCTTCGGATTCCTATCAAGCTATCAGCTATGGCTTCACCTTTCGCCACGAGATTGAGACGCAGAGGCAGTGAGGCACAGTCGCATAGAGCCACAGACTTAGGAGTTAGGATGGCCGCCTGATTTCTTTTTTTAATAGGATGACCCCAAAACGACGTCGTTTTGGGGGTTAGTTACTTCAAAAAATAATAACCGGCCAACCTGCTCGACCGGGGGGTTGGGCGGTTTTACCCGAGTTAAAACCGGGTCACCCGGTTTAACCCGGGTCACATGAGGCCACTTTGGCCATATGAACCGGACCGGACTGGTCTCCGGTTTGCCGGGTCACCGGTCGGACCGGCCGGTCCGGTCCGGTTTTTAATACCATGGTCTTGATAAAAAAATTTTTAAAATAAGTTGGTAAGTATTAATATAAATAATTATAAATTCACGAATTTTAATTTTAAATAATACATTTAAATTTTAATTGTGACTTTGAATTGAGATTCTTTGAAACAATATTTGCAACACTTTTTTTTTAACATTATCAAGATTTAATTGTCATTAATTTTTTTTTCTTCTAAGACTTCGTCGTCACTGTCAATTCCAATAACAAACAGTAAAGTTAAATAGACACCGACAAACACTGTTGGACCCATATGTGACTAGGTAGTTTGTCATATTCCCGTCTCGGAAAATTTAATCATACGCCTCATATTCAGTTTAATCTATTTATTAAAGAAGTTGAAGTTATATTCATACGTTTAATTAGGATTATTTAAATTAAATAGGTTAAATTTATTTTTTTAAGATTCAATTTATAAATTTAATAGACCAGCCTATTTACTTACACATATATATTATGTAATATATCACACAGATATTAGTTTTAACTATTTAATTTTTAATTAATATTTTTTATTTTTAATTATGTTTTCAATCATATTAGATATATATATTAATTTTAATATTATTATTTTATTATTGTATTATAATTGGCAAGTACTTTTAATCATTATATATTATAATTGATAAATTAATTTATATATTGTATACTAATAATTTTAAAATATATTTAAAGTATTTAAAATTAAAGTGTGGGCTTATTTAAAATATTTATTTTTAAGTAAGTTTTTAAATAAATTTTTAGATCAATTTAAATTTTAGATAAACTTAAACTTAAATCGTGAAAAAAAATTTTATGTAGATTTCGGATGAAACACGGGCTTCTAATTTATTGTAAAAATTTAAGCTTAATTCACAAAAGTCTAACTCGATGTAATATATTTTCACCCCTATTTCTAAACTATGCCACTCATAGAAAGGAGAATTTCTTTCTTAATAAAGGAAAGGCATTTTTCATGCATTAAACACACTTAAAAGAAGCTGCCGACACTCGTCAGCCGACCTCCTCTGTTTCTGTCTGTTTGTGATGTTCCGGTCACTTCTCTCTCACTAATCATCATCCCTCACTTTCTTTACTCCTCACCAGCCTCTTATCTTCTTCATTGGGCTTTCATTCCAACTTGAAAAAGAAAAGGAAACTCCCACTTCTTCTTGTTCTTCATTCCATGCACTCATGCGCAGTAACACAGTGAGACACAAAGACTAAAGCACAGAACTTTCTGGGTTTCGTTTTCTGGGTTTTATTCATTTTGTTCAAAACCGTTGAAAAAAATTTCTGGGTACCACTCAATTTCCGTGCAACTTCCAAAGTCAACTCCTTTTTCTTGAAATATTATATGTTCTCTACCTGGGGTTTTAGTTGAAATCCCCATCATCATCATCATCATCATCATGCTTTCGGCGAAATCAGAATCAGATATTACCAGTTTGGTATCTTCTTCACCTTCAAGGTCTCCCAAGAGACCTGTGTACTACGTGCAGAGCCCTTCAAGGGACTCTCACGATGGTGACAAGTCGTCGTCAATGCAGGCGACTCCTATATCCAATAGCCCCGTAGAGTCTCCTTCGCACCCTTCTTTTGGGAGGCATTCAAGGAACTCGTCGGCGAGCAGATTTTCTGGGATTTTCAGGTCATCTTCAGGGAGAAAAGGAGGAAGCAGAAAGAGAAACGACAAGGGATGGCCTGAGTGTAATGTGATTATGGAAGAAGGTGAGTATGATGAGCTCAAGGAATTGGCCTTCACCAGACGTGTCCAGGCTCTGATTGCTCTGTTCAGCTTTGTCGCTCTCTTCAGTGTATTCTGCTTGATCATTTGGGGTGCCAGCAGACCTTTCAAGACAGAGGTTACCGTCAAGGTCAGTCATAATTCTAATGAACATCTTCAACCTGATCACCAGAATTTATGGTTACAATGGATTCTCCGCATTTTCATAGTTAGAATTTACTGTTTCTTTTTACTGAACCTGTCTATAAACTAAGTATAAAGTCTTACGTGCTAAGTAGATAAAGTTATTGAAGCAATTCAAGGTATCTCAGAGACGGATGAAGGGGAAAACTAGGAATTGTGTTTACTTGTTAGTCTTAAAATTTCTGGTTTTAAAAAGCAGCCCTGTTAAATTAAGATGCACTGTGATGTTTGCAGAGCTTGGCAGTACATAATCTGTATGTTGGGGAGGGTTCAGACTTCACAGGAGTGCCAACAAAGTTGCTCACTGTAAATGGATCATTGAGAATAAATGTGTACAACCCTGCCACGTTTTTTGGAATCCATGTCTATTCCTCTCCCATCAATCTAGTCTTCTCTGATATCACTGTTGCTTCTGGTCAGGTCAGTAACATCATCTATATTGATTTACGATATGAATGAATCCTGAAACTTGCTTCTTATCAAGACCAAGGGCTGAGACAGCATTTAACCATGAACAAGTTGGAGATTAAAAGGGCATATATACTACAAAACTTTCATAAATATTGCAGGGCAAGAAATACATGTACTAAGAAATTTAAAAAAAATTTAGGAGGTCATGATCCCTATTGATTCCCTCTTCCCGATCAAGAGGATTCAGTTGAAGCAATATGTTCCCTCCACACCATAATATAGAAGATTGTTTGAAAGTCTTGTTTGATCTAAAATATATGGCATGATGTAGTTCTTACAATTATTTTTCTAACTATTTTCCTACTTCATTTATTATTATTTTTTTAAAAAAAATGATAGATTGGAGCTTCAATTATGACTATTAAGGTACTTGTATAATCTATAGGACATTTAATGAGGGTATAATTAAAAAGATGTAAAAATTTTTAGGAGATTATATTTTTTAAAACCGTGGAGTGATGACTAATACCCTAAAATAAGATCCAGAGGGAGCAACCTAATTGTATGTACCTAACCTAATGGTTCTTGTGTTTGGATGCAGTTAAAGAAGTATTATCAGCCCAGAAAAAGTAAGAGAGTTGTATCAGTGAACTTGGAAGGGAACAAGGTTCCACTATACGGGGCAGGATCAACAATCACAGCGTCCCAAACAGGGGTTGATGTTCCACTCACACTCAAGTTTGAGATTCGTTCAAGAGGGAATGTGGTTGGCAAGCTTGTGAGGACCAAGCACTACAAGCAAATCACCTGCCCACTGCTCCTTAACTCTTCCAGATCCAAACCCATTAAGTTCAAGAAGAATTCTTGCACCTATCATTGACTTCAATTTATGTTGTGAGCTGTGTTGTGCAGCGTTGTGAGTTGTAAGCCTTTTGTGCAAATAAACGAGCTGTGAAATACGCATGAGCATGAAATGCAGGAGCTGTATGTGATTTGATTGCTGATGAGGAAGTCATTTATGCTCTTTAGCTTTTGGTTATAAAAAATGGCAGGCAATGAGAGACCCACCTTTAATAATTTAGAGACCATCGTTTCCTCAAAAAAGGAACTTATAAATTCGATCCCGTGGCCACTGAAAAAGACTTTGACAAATGAAAAGTGGGGATCTTAACCATTTTTTGCCTATAGAAAGTGTAACACTTCACGTTCGTTTTTTCCCCCAGTTTCAGTCCCTGCAAAATTGCATTGGAGATGTTAGATATAGTTTAGGTGCTTCAGCTTAACAGTTAGTAAACAATTGGGAAAGATTATAAAATTCATAAATATGACCGTAATGATCCTAAGGAGGAAGAGGGAGTGTGCTTCGATAAGTTACTGTGTGATACTCTCAATTAGACCGTGCATGTGAATGGGAAGCCAGCCGAAGACGAGAAAACAAATGGGTGATAACTCCCTAGGTGTTAAAAGGAGGCCGCATATTAATTTAGAATTTTAAAATTTAAATTTATGAGTATTTTTATTTTATTATGCACGTTGTATCTTTAAATTTTTCAATATCTTTTGGTTATTATAATATTTTTTTAATTATTGTAATCTTATATATTTTATTTTATTTAATTGATATATTTATGCTTATATAAGTAGAAGTAACCTCAATTGTATTTCATACACTAAAATGAAAAAGGTTCTTAATTTTTTTTTTTCTTATTTTTTATTATAGTTTTCTCTCTTCTCTCATCCTTTCAATATATATTTTTATAACATATTATTAGCACAATTGCTTTAGTCTTGGCATTGCTGTTTCGTGGGTGCCCTTATGATTTTTGAATTAGATATTAATTCTCATGTCAATAATCATCTCTGATAAGGATGAGGGAGAACAAATCTCTATCATCCATGCACTCTTGTTATTTTATCTGTTATCTATTTATTGAATTTTTTTGTTCAATTATTTTCTACCTCCTTCAATTATCAAATAATTACATGCTATATGTGCCACATCAAAAATTATGAAGCATAATTTAATTTTAGAATAGTGGATTATAAAATTATCCACACATAATATAGAGTGAATTTTGACTTTATTTACATGTAAATATAATATAAAGTGAATTCTTAAGATATCCACAAAACTTAAAGTGAATTTGTAAATAATATATCACATGATGTATATCTAAATTCAATTATTTAGTTGTTTATTTATATATTTAATTCTTTATTTTTAATTCATTGTACCATGAATATTATCTACTTATAAGATAAAGTAGATCCTGAAGTTATGTACAATTAAAATAATTTATTTATTTAAATTTTTTGAATCTTGAAACTATTCATATAAAATATAAAATAAGTCTTGAATTTACCTATATCTAAAATAATTAATTATTTCATCTATATTATTCTATGATCGAGAATTTTAACCACCAAAACCTCAATTCGTCTAACAATAACCTTACATTGCCGACGTTACCCATATATATATATATATATATATATATACCGCTTTATTCTTCTAAGTTTTCATATATATATATATATATATATATATAAGCCTGGGCAAATTTGATAGGAGATTCGTAATCGTAGAAATATGCGCTTGTGACAGTGATTTATTATTTTATCCAAATTATTTTATTTTGGAGACATCAAGTGGTTATATATTTAACGTCTATAACAACTTAGCATAGTTATGGTCTGATTTTATTTTCTTTCTCCGTTGATTTTTTTTTTTCAAATAATTTATTTTTTTATTTTAAAAAATAAGACAACTTATATTAAAAATATCAAATGAGTACAAATAAAAGGGCCTCCAGAACAAAAACTGGAAGCCCATTGAAAAAGTCTGGCACACAAAACTAAACTAAAGAAAGCCGAGGCAGAAGACAGGCAACCAAATGGACGACAAATAGAAAGCATAAAGAGTGCTCAGGAATGGAAGGAAAGGAGAAGGGGGTAAGAGCAATGAAAAAATATTACATCTTAATTCAAAACTTTAAGGATCAAGTACATGAGTCTTTGTTCTTTAATTTTATATTATTTATTAAGTTCAACTTTATTTAATGTGGAACTTTTCACATCTATTAAGTTTACTCATATTTGAACAACTTAATAATCTCTCCTCAAATGTGAGCCCACAAATTCCCCATATCAAAGAAACTCTAAACACCAAGTTCTTGTTTTTTAAAGGCCAGCCTAATTTTTGGACTTCAAACGGCATAGTGCACACACGTCCTTACTGTAGCTATGGCCAGTCCCATTTTTAGGCATCAAATGTGTGCGCAATGACAGGCTTACAGGTCCTAAATGAAATTGGACTCTGCTATCACTTGTTAGAAATGCAGTATTGTCATTGAATTTAGTGTTGCTGAAGGAGTTAATAATGTTTTCTGTGATAATCAAAGTATTGTTCATTTAATTAAAAATGACGGGTATCACTTAAAGACTAAGCACATAGACATTAGACATCACTTTATTAAAGATATTGTCACAATTGATGAAATTATTGTGAAGAAAATTCATTCATCTCAAAATCTAGCAGTCGCAGACACACTTGTAAAGTTTATTCTTGATATTAAGTTCGAGTATTGTTTAGGCTTAGTTTGTATTTGCAGGACTTGATTGCCCTTTAAAATTATTTGGCAACTACGAACATTACTCAATTTAAGTCAAGGAAAAATTAGTTGAGATTATGACTCAAATTTTCATAATCCTTTGTAATTATATTTATATATTATCTTAATGTAAATCTATTATATTTCTATTTGATATTTTAAAAGATATTTATTATTAGATAAGATAATATTTTAGCTGACGAGAAACTTTATATATATATATATATATATATCTTGCCTCTTCATCTCCCAAAAAAATTTATTGTAATTCTTATTTTTTATAAAATTACTCGCTCTTTGCTCATGGATTTTTTATCCTTTATATTGAGAGTTTTTTCACGTTAAATTTCTTACAGCTTCATTTTTATTTTTTTTAACTTCTCTGTAATTTTTACTTATTTTATCCTATTTATTTCTATTAATTATTTACTCACTTCCTAACAACTTTTCACCTCACCTTAACACTTGGATAACCTAGAAATCATCGAACTTACAAACACAATCACAAAACAAATGACCACAAATGACCAATAATAAACAAAGACATAGAAGCTAGACAACGAAAGATGAGTGCAATGCAAAATGTTACAACGCCTGATGTTGGACCTCCACGATGCTACATTCCATGAAGGTGCTCTTTAGAATCATCCACTAAGATGAGGCTTTGTGGTGAAAACCTTGTTAAATTTAGATGTATGAGCATATTCTATTTCATACTTGATAAACAGGGCAAAATTACATTTATGCAAGAGAGTGTCAGGCGAGATTATAGAAGCAATTGTAGCTGAAACAAACCCAAGATCAGTTAATGAAGAGTTATTTGACAGCATAGAGGCTAGAGAGTCAGTGTGGTGTAGTTTACAAGCACATGGAATGAAGCCATTGAGGACTAAGTAGGAAGGGTTTATGTTTGGCTCCTTCACATTCCTTAGAAATTTTGTCCTAAGGTATGGAATAAGTCGTCATAAAGCATCCTGACATTCATATGAAGGTGGGAAATATTGACAACCATTTAGCTCCAAGGTAATATGAAAGAAAGCTTAGCAACAAAGAATGTTGTAAAACCTTCGAATCCATGTAAAACATGGCGTATGAGTGAAAGTGAAAAATGAAGCAGGAGAAGGAGTGGTGAAAGGAGAAGTTAAAAGTGTAGTTAAACCAACAAAAGCCTCAGTTAAATTTTTTTATTGATGTAAGACGGTGTTATTGGAGTGATACATGGCAAGAAGAAGAAATCATTGACACTTGTGTAGATGTAGGTAAAAAATCTTGATCAGATGGTGATTCATGACGATCCTGAAGAAACTTAGACCTTTTAACTAGGATTAAATCTGAGTCGGTTATAGTGGAATCCAATATCATCCTTCTTTAACAATGAAGCATGAAATAGCCACCGTGCAACTTGACACTTGTCTTCCCTATTCGATGGAGAGCCTTATGATCCATAATAGGTAGAAGACCTTGCATAGAAGAAATATGCAAACCGCTATGTGGAATTAAAAAGGGAGATGTGGAACATTGATGAACTTAAGGCTTGGCTTTTACATCTTTGAACTTACTTGAATTAGGTCTGAAATTATAGCCTTTAAAAGCACTCCCTTCAATCTATTAGTGGTTAAATTACAGGACCCATTAAATGCAAAGTTCATCGACTTGGATCCACTAACACGAACAAACATTGAACCCAAAGAAGCATATCTAAGACAACACCGAGCAATATGACCCACTTTGAAACATTGAGAACAAAAGCGACCAACATGTTCTAACATGAATAAGGCATCCACTAAAGTATCATTCAGCAACCTTAAATCATTAAATCAAGAAAACACCGGTGTGAACTCAGACAATAAAAACCTTAACATGAAGTCCATAGTGATTATAAGCACAAGAACGATCAAAATGTAAGAAAACTCCAAAAACATTACTAAGAAACTGAGCGGTAGATTCAGTGTCATAATCCAAAGGAACACCACAAACAGAAATCCAAACCGAAAAAGTGTTAAAAAGTTACTCTGGCAATTGGCATATTTGATACCTAAGGATGAACAACTAAAGTAAAGCCCTGAAGTAACCAAACTCCTCAATTTAAAACAACTGCTAAATCTGCTTCATGTTGAAAATAAATAACAAAGTAGTTTTGTCTCTATTGAACAACCTGAATAACTTGTCAAAGTTGCTAATGGATGTTGATTAATGATTGCAACTTCAAAGCATGAAGAAGACAATGATCAATAACCTTAAAAAAAATAGTGTTTTTGCTAGAAAATTCATTAGGACTCCCTAATTGCTAGCATGTACATCATTCCAAAGAAAGCATACCAAAACAAGAAGAAAAAAGATCACCAAACTAGTAACCAAAAATGCAATGAGAGAGATTTTTCAATAAGTTGAACGGTCGTAAGAAACACGAGCATTGGCAATAATAGACACCGCTAAAAGAGATATAAGTTCCTCTCCCCATTAAATGGTATTTTCAAATACTTTTTATTTTTATTTGAATATGTGTTATGACCAACATATAATATATATATATATATATATATATTTGTAAAGCAAGTAGTGTCAAGATATTTATATTCACCTTATATATAAATAAGGCCTTTTTTATTTTAGTTTTATCTGGTTCTCCACAATATTCTTGCAATAAAATGATTAATAGCCATATTATTTTATAACTGATCAATTTATGGCCAGTCATTATAAATTATATGGCCAAATATGTCATATTTAATTTTTTGATTACATAGCCATGAGCCACATTTGATTTTATGATTACCTCACTTGAAGTCATAGTCAATTTTGTTATTGTATGGCCAAAAATTATCTCAATTTTGATTGTGATTATTATGTGAAAAGATAATTTTATGCCTCTAATGATTAATATGAACTTTGTGAAATTTTGATGGGCATCTTGATTATTAATTCAATTGGTTTTACTACTACATCCTTGAAGGCTAATAGTTCAAAAGAATTGCCAGGTCTAAAAGATTACTTTTTAATAATCCTAAAGATTATAATCAATAGAATTTATGTTATAAAAAATATGGCCTGTTGCCATATAGACACAATGTTTATTATTTATTGAACTTGATGAATGTCAATGTTGGTTGTGATTATTATGCCTTAAAGTACCATGAGGTGTTGAGAAAATATCAATGAATGGCTATGAGAAGCCATTATAATATTATAATAATAAATTTATGAATATACACACACATAGAGGAGCTAAAGATTTTGATTGTGCAAAATCTACCATAGTTCAATAAATGTTTAAATAAAGTTAGAAGTAGATGTTAGATAAGATACTTCTTCTTCTTGTTTATTTTTAAATGAAGCAAAATGATGTTTCTATAAGAAACAATGGATCTAGAAGGCTTGTATTACATGGTTTGTTATTCCAAAATAAGGGAAAGATAATAAATAGTTAGAAATAAAAAGTGAATGAATGAATTCTCTATATAACACATAGATCCTTATATATATGAACCAAAAGATCATAAAATATTGCATTCATTAAATATTAGAAAATAACTGCCGAAAGTAAATATTAACATAGAGGAGAATTACTAATTTCATATTCTAGTTGACAATGTTCCAAAGTACAAAGAAATAAAAAATTAAGCTATGCCTAAAGCATGAAAGGAAAATTGATTCCAAAGATAAAAAATCTTATACAAAGAGAACGAAAGAGCATATAATCAAGATGATCATATTAAGAAGGCCAACATTCAAGATGAAGCCAAGACATAATTAATTTTAAGTCCCTAGAAGAGAATCCTGATAGCAATAGTGATGTCTTGAGAAGTTATGTCAATGTAAGAATGATGGAATCAAAAAAAAGTTGTCAACAACACTTTAAATGTGGATGAAAAACTACAATCAAATGAAAATATTGATAGAATGTCAATAAAAGGCTGATTAGACTTAGAAAAACGAATGCAATACAAGTAAAATTGCATTCACTTGTTCAGGGTATGAAAGTTATGAACTTATAGTTTTAGCACCTGAAGTGCGATATTATACATGAGTATTTATGAGGAAGAGAAATATGAAATGTCACATGCAAAGCTTAAATTTCAATATAAGAATATTATACAATGATTCAAAATATTTATTGATATATTTTCTTATGGTGGATAAAATGATTTTTTTCAACATGTTATTAGTTTGATAGTATAGAATTTTGATATGCATCTAATAAATGCTAGCTTATTTATATGGCTACCTATACAATAATATTTGCTTAAAAATCTCAAAAGGATCCAAGATGGAAGTTTATAAAGATTCTCAAGAAAATTTTCTTTGTCATTATATTTGTTCATATATATATATATATATATTGATTTGCATAAAAAATTGATTTATTAGTATTATTGAATATTCTAAAGAGTTTACAAAGCGTTTGATTGTCAAAAAAATATGTTAAGATATCGGGAGATTAGATGTGAATTGAAATCATTTTTGAGTAAGAGAATAATAAAATATGATCCTAAAGCACCATATATGAATGCTTTCATAACATAATTTATGGTATTGCATTGGTTTGCAATGAAATTATGTATTTGATATCATCTGCCTGAGAAATTATGTGTGATTGCATTACTAAACTTATTTAAGATCAAAATCAATTGATTGTGTGTATGTGTTATACATGTTTAGTTTAAACCACACAAGTTGACCTTCAAGAAGTTATATATTTGTGAGAATACAAGTGTATGTATCATGATTGTTCATTATAAACTTTTATTATTATTTACACAAAATATACAACAAGTGAAAAATTAGTTTATATCCAGAAGATATGTATAGAAAAAAAATGTTTCAAGATATTACATGAAAACAATGATTTTTGTATAGTCCAACTGAAAGAGAACATCAACCTACAAAGGCATTGATGACAACAACATTCAAGAAATTCGCACACAAGTTTATGATATAATGACTCAAGAATAAGGAGTGATATCATCATAAGGGGATGCAAAAAGGTATGCTGTACTCTTTTTTTTCTTAACCAAGATTTTATCACTAGGTTTTTCTAGTAAGATTTTTAATGAGGTAATTTTAATAAATATGGAGACATGATGTACTCTTTTTTTCTTCACTAAGTTTTTGTCCCATTGTATTTTTTTTTTCATAAGGTTTTAATCAAGTGCAATATTTGGACATCCAAAGGGAGGTGTTATGAATATTAAAAGATTTTGTGGATGCCCATATCTTTAAATTCTCTAATATCTTTCGATTATCATAATATCTTTTAGTTATTATTATATTATATATTTTATTTTATTTAATTAATATATTCATACTTATAAATCGAAAACTTTTAAATTGTAATCCACAGACTGAAATGGGAAAGTTCTCAATTCTCCCATTCTTTTACTTCCTTATTATAGTTTTCTCTCTTCTCTCATCCTCTCAATATATATTTTCATAACAATATATTATTTATTGGGCGAGACTTATGTATATAGCCTTATATATTTAATATATCAAGACATGAGAATCTAATATGTTAATAATATTAATAATAAGAATTTGTTATAAAATAAATAATCTATAGAAAATACTAACGTCTTGATTTAATTAAAAACAAGAATATTAAATATATAAGACTAAATATATAAGTTTTTTCCTTAGTTATTTGGCTCAACTTTATTGACTTAAGATTTCTCACATTAACTTAAATTCACTCACACATTAATTTAAATTCACTTACACTAGAACATCTTAACATAGTGACTAAACAGTTTTTCATAACTTCTAATAAATAATTAAGGAAAAATTACCCATAAAGACTTCACCATCAAATTAATTGTTGACAAGGCATTAAAAGTTTTGAAAAATAAGGTCCTTCGGTGGCATAAAATAGAAGGAAATAATGATCAAAATACCCTCATTGAATTAAAACGAAAATTCTGAGCACTTGAATCTCGTCTTTACACGTGAGCTCTCCCCCATTGAACCACCGCTTGAATCATTACCCCAAAGCTTCCCTAGCTGTGTTGAACCAAGTTTGCAATTTTGTTACATTAGTTTCCTTAGTATTCAATGATGATCGTGAATTGGTGTGTCATTTCTGCTTTTTCTATGCGGCTGTGAGTTATCTAATTTTGTTAGATTAGTTACCTAATTTTTTATTAAAAAAACTTGATTTTTGAATACCTATGGGGCCAAAGTAACAATTTACTTTCTTTTCTCTGTCTTTCTTTTTTTTGGGGAGGGACACACACAAGTATCTTTCAATTGAAGACAATAATAATCGAGGCATTATTAAGTATTAAATGTAGGCACATCTCTCATTAGAGATTCAAATTTTAATTTATCACGTTATAAATAATTAATCTCTTCTACTAAATTCAACTCATTTATGGCAACAATTAGATTTTAAAAACGCATTTTTTTTATAAAATTTCAAAAATGCTTAAAAATCCAAGATTTTGGGCCTTGATGGCCCAATTTATATATATGATGCGAGTGGACATTGTTTATAAAGCAGAACTTGTGTCAGAGGCCCATTTCTTGAAAGACGCGTCTCCTTTTACTTCTGTGATCTAAACTAAATCTAACCATCTAGAAAACAAAATGCAATATGTCAATGCTGCTGTGGCATAGTGATATGAAAATTTTCTTATAATTGACAGTCCCAAGTTATTATTGTCCGTCCTTGTAATTTTTTTTTAAAAATGCAAAGCAAAATCCCCCTGCTTACCGACATAGTTCAACAGCAACCTTCATCTGATAATGACAATCTGACAAGTTAAAAATCATTTTGTTGGGCGTTAAAAGTAGAATCAGTTTCACAAGAAGTTATCCAACCAGCCATAAATAGAAATTTTGAAATAAACTTCATCGATCAGCAGCAATTAAACAAGAATTATATTCTAACATGTGGAAAAAAAATTATCAAATATTTTAAGGTTGCAAAGGTCATTAATACTTTGATAAATGAATTACAAAAGAATAAAGCAAACAAAATATTACTCATTAAATTATTATTTTTTTACACTTTAATTTAATTTGTCAACAAACAGATGGATTGCTGTTATAAGAGAGTATAAATAACATGTGCTATTACAGCACAAACCAACTCTGCTCTCTACGAGGAGCAGAATAAATCTAAAATTGAAATTACAGTTTGTAAAAAATTATATCACCACATAGCTAGAAACACCAGAAGCTACCATGAAAAACTCTCAAAATATTTTAACTGGAGGAGGTGCAGAGACTATCAAAACCCATGTACTCATGCTTCTCAATCTCCTCGATAATATCTGCTATGTCCACACCACCTGTTCATATATCACATTCAAACACTAATTAATTAATTAATTAATAATAAACATGATGCAAAATAAAAAGACTTCAAAAAATATGAAAATAATAATTATATTAAATAGCGAGAAACAATGACAAATACTTGCCTAGTGATATTGCACTGACAAAAATCGTGAAGGCCAAGATGAAAATGATCAAAGAAGCTCTCCCTAATACTACTATGAGCTTTTTCACCAAATATTGTCCCAAAACTGCAGCTACAATGGCTATACCCACAAAATAAAGAGCTGCAAAAGGTAGCTTTTCTTTTTAGTATGATGAACACGTGAAAATAGATTATGTTATGCGTGTGTGTGTGTGTGTGTGTACAGACACACTTACTGTAAGGAATAGGAAAACGTTTTAGGAGGTAATATTCCACCACTGACATTGATGCAGAAAATGTCATGGCAAAAGTGGATGTGGCACTTGATACCTGCATATATAAAATTATTTCTTTTTATGTGTTGTTTTTTTTTTCAATATTTCAATAAATATTATAATATTCTGTGTGTTGATGATTAAATACCTGAGGATTGATTCCAAGGTCAATGAAAAGAGGGCCAAGAATGAAGCCACCACCAAGGCCAAGCAAGCCACCAACAATGCCAGCAGCAAGGCCAAGGGCACAACAGAAGATTAGTTGATGAGCTGTCCATTCTGGTTGGGGACCTTCGTTTGATTCTATTGCTCTCTTCCCTTTGTACAGTAACACTGCCTGGTATGATGTCACTGACACCGCCACTGGTATCTGATCATTTATTCACTATCACATATACATCCTCTTCATTAACATTTCATCAATAAAAAGTGAGCTCTGGTCTCTTGATTGGTTCTAGAATTACTATAAAAAATAAGGAGTGACTGCCCAAAAACGGGAGAGAATGAATGAGAAAAAATAGAAGCCATTCTTCTTTATTTATTTTATATTAGTTATCATGTTTAACTTTATTCGATATAAAACTCCTCATTTTTGCTTAAATCCACTAATACTTAGACAGCTTAACAATTACATTGAATATTGACTAATGTATAACTATGCAAGTCATCAAGTTGATCATGACTAAAATGGTGGTAAAACTATCTTTTAATTAACATATGGATTGATATCTCAAATCAACTCCACTCCAGTCTAACTCGAGAATTTATCGAAGTCCAAACTAATTTGGGGTAAATCAAGTAGAGCTACAGAAGGTGATGAAGCTTTACCACCAAATATTTAACACGTTGCATTCTCAAGACTCAAATAAGTCAAGAGTTCTATAGTTTAACTGGTACAATTTCGTATATTAATCGAGCCAGATGTTTAGCAGTAGATCGTTGGTTGTGTTAGCAAATTAAATCTTTCTACCAGCTAAGCTCAGCTAAGCAAGTTGGTCGTTAAAGTGAGTCATAGTTTGATAATAGGATAAGGGATATATGTATATATGTATATATATACCTGTAGCACATTCAATACCCAATATGCCGCCGAACACGTTACAGTGTAATTCTGTTGCAAAAACACAAATCATGATAATAAATTAGCATGCATTATATGGCATTATGCCGTATATGCATGTAACAAAAAATGCACATGGAATATATATATATATATACACACACACACAGAGAGAGGAGTTGGAGTTAGGGTAGGTATCAACTTTTCCAATTTGTATGGCGAGTATGATGGCCCAAACAGCGAAAAGAAGTGCTAGTTCCTTCCATCGAACGTTCTTCATAATAGGAACCTGCATGAAATTTACCATACACGTGTACGTACATGCCATTATTCTCTTAAACAATTAATTATAGCTTAATTGATATATATATATATATATATATATATATATCACTGAGCAACGACGTCGACTCTCTGTGTACTTAAATTCTGACCGTTTCTTTCTTTGATTCTGTGGTTTCTCTGGGATCTTCATTGCTTGAACCTGATGATGGAAGGGCCTCATATCCTCCCTCTTCATTCCTCTCAGTACTCTCTAATAATTAATCACAATTCACAAGTGAAATTTAACCTATGATTATATTTCTTCCATTAAAAAATATAAGAAACATTTTTTTGAATTAGATGTTTAATAAAATGGGAAGCATTTTTAGTTTTTTAATATGTAATTAATGAGTTAATATTCAAAATTACCCTTAATAAATAAATTAAACAACCCTTCATATTTAAGTGAGACACTATATCAAGGGGTGTAATTCGATAAAAAATGTTTTATATTTTTTAATAAAAAAAGTATAAATATTAACTTTCATGCATTTATCTATTTTGTAAAATCATTTTTATAAATATAAGGACTAGAACCAGCTGATTGCAGAGATTATCTTCTCCTAAATACTGAAAATAAATGATAGAATTTTTTTTTCTCAACTAAATTGCTATATGCATAAAGAATTGGGATTCTATCCTAATAATTGGACAGTTAAAATCTTAAACTTGTTAAAAAATATTTGGTTTCCCAATTTTACCTTTCACTAAAATTAATGACCGCGTACAATTAAATATGTCTAGAAATTATAACTTGGTAAAATTAAGAATGAATAATATTAAAAAAATTTATTATCACGTCTTTGCCTTGTATTAATATGACTTTAAAACTTTGACCTATAATTAGAACAGGAGAAATTACTTAATTACCATTCAATAATAGCGCCTGTCTAGCAGCAGTCTCCTGAAATCATAATAAAGAATGCATCAAAATAAAGTTCCAATAAAAACATAAAAAAGAATTAATATCATGAACAGTACTGTGTGCGCATATGTATAAATATATATATATATATATATATATATGACTGAGGTGGAAGATGAGGAATTACCTTCTTAAGAATGGTTTCTTTTTTCCAGGTCTCAACACCCTTAAAGAAAGCTTTAGTTGAAATGACTGTTGAATATACCCAGACATACATAACATAATATTATAAAGCATGCATAAAAATGCATGAACGAATAAAATGATGAGTGCGGTTGAGAAATGAAATGAAGGGTTTAATAATAACTAAGAACATGATATGATATAAAGTATAATTAATAATCAAGATTGTGGTTAGTTGGAGTATATATACCAAGGAAAATGATAATTAACAAAACAGCAATCATCCACTCAGCTAAAATGACATTCAAAATAACTCCAAGGCTGATTCCAAGCACCAACATTGGCTGAAAAAGAAGAGCCAAATCATAGTCTATCATAGGCAGTTCCTTTGTTGGGTGTCTTTGCTTCAGATTGTAAAACACTGTTGCTCCTGCTCCTCCCGTTATCATGCCTTCATTACACACAAAACACAACTAGTCCAGATATAAATATATAAATAATAAAATTGAGGAAAAATATCATCTAAGGACTGCTGCAATGCTCGAATTGTTTGATTGATATTTATATGATTAGATTTTTTTTCTTCAATTCTTTTATATATTTTTCAGTTAATGATGTAGACTAAAAAAAACATTAAAAAGTATGTTTCTTCAATTTTAAATTTTGATCATAATTTTTCTCATCAAATTTAATAAATTTAAATTTTTAAAAATTTAAAACGAATAGCTAGCTAACCCTACTGAATGTATTTGATTCTTTGTATATTATATAAATGAAAAATAGAAAACTATCTTGGTAAAAGATATACTGTATGATGTATCTTATATTTTGTGACAAGAAAAATTAATACATTTTTGTCAACAAATTAATGCATTGGATATTTCAATTTTACATAAAAATAAAGGAATTGTTCTATAATTTAAATATCATTCACAAGGAAGAAGATAATAATATATTTCAACACAAATAAAAAAAATAATTTCTAGGAATTATTCCCAAACATACTCAAATGATTTCTTCCCATATTCATATATGGTATATGTATAATAAACTTATCTTGCTGTAGTTAAGAAAGAAAAATTCACTTAAAAAAAAAGAAACGAAAATTCAAACTATAATGTAATGTTTAATTATGTAGAAATTATTATTATTTTGATTTTATAATTATAAATGTCTTACTTTAAGATCGTGAAATTTTTCTGTTAAAAAAATCAAGAAAAACTTAAATATTATTTTCATTTAATTTAAAACACAAAGGAATGTTGGTAAAACAAGAAGTCAACAACAAATGACAAATCTCATAGTACATTGATCTAGCTACCTCCCCGTTAACATTTGGGTGCCATGTGTCGGTGTTGAGGTTTGCACGCTCTCACACGTTCGAAGAGACATTAACAGGATTGCTCTAGCTGCCTCCCCGAGAACGACTTGGAGGTAAGGAGAAATATTATACTTTGTCTTATTCTTTTTATAAATCCTATTTTAAAATTTTTTTTGATTATTTACATAATTTATACTCTTTATTGAAAAATATAAAATATTTTTAATAAAATCTTACTTCTCAATAAAGTAGTTATTTATTTTTAAATTAATCCTATTTTTTATATTTATTTTTATTTAATAGGGTGTTTGACCCTAAAAAAAATAAAGTAATCTATTTAATAGGAACACTTAAAAAAAAAATAATGATTACATTTTGAGAGATTTAAAGTACTTTATAGTTTTTAACATCAAACTTTTTAAAAAATACTTTATATTTTTTAATAAAATGAGTATATATATTTGTTAATTTTTAATACCCTCTAATAATTTCTAAAAATAAATTCTATATTTTAATTTTCAAAAAAACTCTGTTAACACATCAAAATACTCTTTTTTAAAAGTATAAGAACAAAATTTAAATATAATTTATTTTTAAAAAAGGTTATTATTCTAACTCACTCACCTTAATTTTGGTGAATGAGTTAAGACAGAGGAAAGTACTTTAAATTTGATGTTTTGTTACCAAGCAAAGTACGGAAACAGCGAAGAAGTGTTAGAATCTTCTTACATTTAGAGATAGCAGTAGCTGATTTTGCATCAAATCCAATAATCAATTTAAGCATTGGCACGAATATGCCTCCCCCACCAACTCCACCAACCGTTCCAAACGCTGCTCCTAGGAACCCTACTATGGTTCCTACCACAATTCTCCATCCAAATTTCATTTCCTGCAAAAACCCATCATCTTTTCTCCTTCTTCTTCTTCATTCAACTCATATACATTTTAAACCCAATCAAACAACGCAACTGAACTGGAAATATACTTACAGGCCATGTGTGTTGGTATCCCAACCGTGATGGTGACAAGTTGAATACTTTCTCAAGAATAAAATTAGCTTCAACCTCCTTCTTCATCTCGTTGCTTGTTGAACTTGATGCCTGGTTTCGGTTTTGATGAGCTGAAATGGAGGTTGAGACTAAAATCAGGATCACTATCAACCGTGTAGCCCACCTGTTTAATGTATTGTCGGCCATTTGGTCTCTGCAGTTTCTTAAAACCCCAGAAAGAAAAGAAACGAAGAAGAAGCTTTTGGTGGACTTGATGAAACCAAAATCTTATTTTGATCTTGGATTTTACTTCGAAACCATCGGCACACTCAAACCCAGAAAAGGCCTCGAGTAATGCTTCGAGTTAGATTGTGAAGTTGGTTCAGAAGTAGAAAACTCAGATCAGGCTATGATTTATGATCACCTCTCTCTCTCTCTCTCTCTCTCTCTCTCTCTCTCACTCACACAGCTGTTTGTCAAGCAAGTTTCATTTTCTCATTTAATGTGTATGTTCTTGGCGGTACACGGGTGTGTTGTACTCCGAGTCTCAGGTACGTATACTGATTATGTATCAGTAATTAATTTACTATTTAAAAAATTCGGTGATATCTTGATTTGTTTTAACAAAAAATCATGTCTTCATTTCTATCTTTATTAAATATTCTATAAAAGTCTTTTAACAATGATAATAAAAATTTTAATATATATATTATCTTTTAAAAAATAATAACAAATAAAGTGAGGATATAGTTAAAATAGATAAATATAAAAACTTTTGAATGACTAATATTTTATATTTGGATTCACGTAAAATTTTAAAACATATACTATATTATAGTTTGGCTGAAATATCTCTCCATTTCCGAGTATAACAACAAAGCAAGGGTAGTGCTGTGAAAAATCTCAGACCCAAAATGGAGGGTAGTAGCTACGGCTGTCAGTAGAGTCGGTAATTAGGGTCGAGCCCGACAGGCTAACCCAAACTAGCTTAAAAAATTTTAAGGCCGAGTATTAAAAAAGAGATGTTTTTTCATGTTCAGGCTGGCCCGAATAGGCCTAAAAAAATTCGAGCCAAGCCCGATCGGGTTCGGGCTTAGCCCGAATACCCGAATAAATTTTTTTATTTTTAAAAATATATAATATATAATAAATATTAATCAATTCTTTAATTTTTAGGTTATTTTATACTAAAATATCATATATTTGAGTCCTAGATATCATTTATGTATTAAAAATATATATTTTATATTTTTTTATAAAATAAAATAATTAATTTTAAAGTAAAAAAATAATTAAAAATAATTTTAAAAATAAAATTCGGGTATTCTGGCCGCCCGAAGCCCGAAAGAATTTGGGTATTTGGGCCGCCCGAAACATGAAGGAATTCGGGCCGGGCTTAGCCATTCGGGCTTTTTAAAAAATGGGCCTGTTCGAGCCGGGCTTATATAGGCCAAGCCCGAATAGGCCCGACCCGCCTGAATTCACAACTCTAACTGTCAGGTATATAGCTCCCAGTTTAGTTACCCATCCTTTATCTTCTTCCTTGGGAAGATTGGCTAGAAGCGTGAGACAAAGGGAAAATTTCAAGCTTGACCCCTTAACCAAATATAATGAATAAAGTTTAAAATTTTACTGTAGACCAAAAATAGTGAATTAAAATTAAAATGCAAACTAAAATTAAAATTAATGGTCATATTGAAATGGTCATTTTTCCTTAAGGAGTTGTTTATGCGCATATCTTCACTTAATTTTATTCTTACTATTGTTATCATGGTAAAAACAATTATAAATTTTTTATATTAAAGTTGTTCATTTCTTGCACTAAAGTAGTTAATTTTTTTACAAAAGTTGTTGGTCGCATAGCTTCATTAGTTTTTATTTAAACCACTATTATCATAATAAATAAAATTGCAAATTTGCCATTATGAAGTTGTTTATTTTCCATACTAAAGTGGTTAGGAGTTGTTTGTACACAATGTTAATTTTTCACTAAAAACAATGAGGTAATTTAAGTTTGCATTTTAATTTCATTTCACTACCCTTGGTATGTAGTGAAATTTAAAATTTAAGGATTCTCTTTTTCATTGTATATGGTTAAGGAATCTAGATTGAAATTTTCCCTAGGACAAATATATTTGAACATAAGAATCAATATCTTAAAAAGGAATAATGATATTAAAATCTTAAAATAATAAATTTATAATAGTTAGATCCCGACAAACTTAAATTTTTTAAAAAATTAATTGTAAATATTATTCAGACAGTCATAAATTAAATTCAAGAGTTTTAACTGCAAATAAAATATTTAAATTTTAAATATATCCTTATATTTGTAGTTGAGATTCTTTTTTATAACTATTTGAATTAATATTTATAACTTATTTTTTAATAAAATTTATCAAAAACTTAACTATTATAAATTTTCAATTTTAAAATGTTACTGTCATATGCAAAAGTCTTTCAAAAATATTAAGTTCGGATGAAAAACTTATCAAAACATCCTTCATATAGGTCTCTTATGTGCTATCATTTTCACTCTTTGGATTTCCTTTCACATCTAAATCTACATTCCAGTTTTAGTAGCCACTGTACCTGTCGCTCATTATCTTTAATTTCTTTTTTTTATAAGCCTAGAGTTAAGGTGAGCTGAGTTACGCCAAGATCAGGCTATACTTTTAAGTTAAAAAAATATTTATAAAAATATATATAGATTGACTATTAACAAGATCATCACATCGGTAATAAAATTTTGACCTATAGGTCATAGGATAAATTCTTATCAATTGATCTACTTTTATTAATCATTGTTTTTGTGTTTAATTTTGAACCATCAACATAAAAATATAAGTATACAATAACATCGTATTATTTGTGTCTTATTTTGTTTAATTTTTGTTACAAGAGAAACTGTCATAGGCTACACACATTTTTCTATTAAAAACAATTATATTTGAAATATGATCAGTCATTAAATGTGAGCATTTCTTTTAATAGATATTCAAACATTACTTATTCACATTGTGAAAAACTTGTCCTTTTAACTAGACCCAACTCCATTGATAGCTTCATTGTTTTTTTAAACATGACTACAAATTTCAAAAAATATTTATTACGTTTTCTTAATGTTCCCCTCATAAATAGATAGTAACATTAAATTATAAAAAATAAATACTTCATCCATTAAAAAATATAAGGCACTTTTAATCAAATCTTATCCCTAATAAAGTAGTTCTCTACTTTCAAACTAACCCTGTCTTTTCATATTTACCCTTATTAACATCCTATAATAAATATAAAGTCACTATCAATAGGAATACTTTTTAAAAAAAGACAATGATTACACATCAAAAGACTAAATTTTTTTTATATATTTTGAATATCCAACTCTTAAAAAAATGTCTTACATTTTTTAATAGGAAGTATTAGTTATGAAGTTCTTTTAGTCTAACTTTTTAATTTTAGACATAGTTATTAGTATGGCCAACTTTCTTAAATTGTGTAATTTAATTAAAATATGCTTGTATTTGGAAATGAAAAGAGTATATGTAGTAAAATACTTTTAATTGAATCACATCCCTCAATGAGCTAGTTAATTGTATTTAAAATTATACTCTTTTTCATGTATATTCTTATTTATTAACCTCTTGGTTAAATTTGTATTTGAAAAAACCTCACTAATTACGTCTTGAAAGATCTATAATACCTTAGCTTATCTCATACAATTTACTCTTTGCAAAATAAGCAAAAAAGGCCTTTAAATTCGTATAAAGTTCGAAACTATCGTGTTATTCGCAACTTACTAATAAGACATGAATGCCAACGTTGCTAACTTATATAGATATACTTTCTTTGTTAAAAAATATAAATATTTTTTAAGTTGAATGTTAAAAATATAAAATATTTTTAATTTTTCAAGGTACAATCATTGTCCTTTTTTTTAAAAGTGCCCTAATTAATGAATGATTTTATATTTATTGTAGGGTATTTAATAAGAGTAAATATTAAAAAATTAAGTTAGTTTAAAAATTGACAACTATTTTATTAAGAGGTGAGGTTCAATTAAAAATATTTTTTATTTTTAAAAAGGAGGATTATCATGTAATTGATCTCAGGTGAAAAAAAAATGTAATTGATCAATTGATACTTTAAAGGAAAAATTAATCTTTTAATCCTTTAATTTTTAACTCACTTGTAACTTAGTCCCTCAATTATGACTTGCTGTGACTCAGTCCCTCAACTATAACTCGCTGTGACTCAGTCTCTCAACTTTTGATTCACCTATAATTCGGTTTTTATTTTTAATTTTTTTAAAAAATTTCTTATTAAATAAGAGGGATAAAAAAATACTCATATATGATTCTAAAATACTCTTCTCTTGCTCATTAATGTGAGATATATGCTAATATGAAAAAAATTAATAAAAGTTCAGGGATTAATTTGTTAGTGATTCAAAAGTTGAAAAATTAAGTCATAGTTGAAAGATTGAGTCACGGCGAGTTATAGTTGAGAAATTGAATTATAGCAAGTCATAGTTAAGGGATTAAGTTACAAATGAATTAAAAGTTAGAGGATTAAAAAATTAATTTTTTTATTTAAAAATATTATTTCAACTCATGATAAAGGTAAACAGGGGAGAGTCTGGACCGACACATCACTTTATAATGGGCCCTTTGCCCCACAAACAAAATAATAATAAGACATATAAATGTTTATTTTAATGAAAAGAATTGCACATAGTTTCTTTTTCATTTGTCCCCACCCAAAAAATGTTCTGTTTGTACGCCCATTTATTTTATAAACAAATAAAATAGGTATGTATTTGCCTGAAAAATATAATTTTCTATTACATTTGTATTTTATTGCAATTAACTAATTTGTGTATCGTCTCTTTTGTGTGCCTATAAATCTCAAAGCTGTGGTTTCTATTTTTTTTTTCATTTTAATTGAAATGTTTTCCTAAACAAAATGCTTCTTAAATCTTAATTAAGGGTAAGGGAGATTTTGACACAATAAAGTTAACATTATTATAAAAATTTTGTATATTGAAGTTTTCCATTGGAAAAGGATTTAATTAAAAAATATAATATTTAAGACATTATTAATCAATATAAAATGTGATTTATAACAAGTGATACTTTTTATGAATTATTAGCAATGTGACTAAAAATTCAAAAATTGTACAACACTCAAGCCCACATCTAATTACTTCCCAAAGTAATTAAAAGAATCAAAATTAAGAAAATAAAAAAGCCACTTCCCCTAATATTTACCAACACTTTACTAATTTAAATCCTTATTTCTTGATAACAAAAATTGATTTTCAAAGCTGGTGAAAAAAATTAATTTTCAAAAGTTTTATAGATTGATAGACTAATATCCATTTTTTACTTTTTTTCAAGGGGGATAATATAAAATAAATTATTTACTGCAAAACCCAA